GGATATTACTGTATTTTACAAAAGAAGTGCATCCTTAAACGCAATTAAGTAAATGCAATTGTGCGGGAATTGTACATACACCTGGTGTCTCCTTAAAGATTATAGGATACCCTTGATTTTTCGAGTCGGCTGCGAGAGTAACGTAAGCGTACGAAGGGGAGAGAGAAAGGGCGATGGAAAGGAAGGAAAAAGAGTGAGAGAGAGAAAGAGAGAGAGAGAGAGAGAGAGTGTGTGTGTGAGAGAGAGCAAAAGAGAGACGCTCTACTTGTTAGATAGAGACGCAAGGAAAGAGAAAGAGGAAAAAAAAGAGAGGAAAGTTCTGTCCAGTCGTTCTCGCGACTTTATGTGAGGATATGCTCGGTGTTCTCGGGCCGCGATCGCGCGCCCCTCGTCTGATCGTTTCCTGTTTGTAAAGATATATGTATAAAAAAAAAATATATATATATATATACATACATGTATAAACTAAATGTGTTTCGTAAGCGACAAACGCGTGTGGCACGACCGTAAATTGTGCGACTTACCGAGTGATTGCGCGCGAAGGAGGTGAGCGGAATAATAACTAGCGTTAAGCGTACATTGTGTCTGCAAATATTTCTCGAAACACGTCGAGCTATACGAACCACCGACGGAGTCCCCCGTGCGCCCTTTCCCCACCGCACCCCCCCTCCCCCCGCACCCCTCGCTCAAAGTTTCACATCGGCCTGCACCGTGTAGGTGTTTCGGACGAAATAGACTCGCGAGTAATAAACAACGATCTCTCTTTCTCCCTCTTTTTCTCTCGAGAAAAAGAGAGAGAGAGAGAGAGAGAGAGAGAGAGAGAGAGAGAGGGAGAGAGAGAGAGAGAGAGAGAGAGAGAGCGCGTGTGCGTAATGCAGGGCGCATTAGCGTATATTTGATACACGCTAATGCGCGTATAATCGCGTGTATGTGTTAATACACGCACCGCTAAAGCGCGTAAGTCGATACGCTTACGGACGCATGCGGACACGTCGCGCGTCCGTTATTCGCGAGTGTATCTCGCGAATACGCTCCTCCGGCGTCCCCTTCGTCGCGCGGCCGTTCCGCGAGCACCCCCGAAGTCCTGACTCGCCCGCGCCGCGAGGCCAAAACCAGGTGGATTCGGGAAATCGCGGAAACGGGGGAACGGCGAGGGACGACGCGCGATTAAGTACAGAGAAATCGCGAAAGTGACGATGGCGAACGTTGCGACCGACTTTAAGGGGGTTATTTTGAGGCAGAGAATCGATCCTTCCGCCTACCTCTCTCTATTTCTCTCTCTCTCTCTCTCTCTCTCTCTCTCTCTCTCTCTCTCTCTCTATCCTTCCTTCTTTTTTTTTAGCGCTGTTGATTATCCTAAATTTAATTTGCATCCTCGTCGCAGCTTTGGACGCGAGCTCGGCTGTCTGATCGTCCGATTAAATTCACCCGCGTCCAGATGGAGACGCTAGCCGCGAGACGGACAGTCGCGTTTGCATGTGAACGTTTGCTTTCTCATTAGGACAAATTTCCTTCCCCCCCCCCCCTTCGGTCGCACGTTTTCTCTGTGCTTAAAACCGGGCGGGCGCGCCGTGGAGCGCCGGAATGCGGGAGGTGTAGCCGAAAAATATTGCAAAGCTCTCGAGAAATCATCGCCGGGGGACTCGACGACGCCCCGCGCACGACAGACCATAATTGAGGATAAAGGGAAAAAGAAATAGACATAAGGGATGATTCTTTCCGCCGCGTCGCGCAGCCAGTTACACGTCTATCTCGTACTAGAATATAGCGGACTAAAGTATACTGCACCCCCGCGAGCGCACGAGTTTCGCGAACACCGCTTAACTCTTTGAGCGGCGGTCGCAATTAGAGGGAGAGACCGATCAGCAGCGACCAGACAGGACAAAAGCGAGGAGGGGAGGGGAAGGGAAGACAATTTTTCAGGCGCCTAGAGCGAACGCCCAAGAGAGCGTGCGAGCGGAATTCTTTCGCTCGAACACGCGGTCGTCGGCCGCAGCTTAATCGCGGCCCGGCGAAGAGTTAAGCGAGTGCGTCGCCGCGAGATCCGCGAAGAGAGAAAAGGAGAGAGAGAGAGAGAGAGAGAGAGAGAGAGCAAGGGAAAGCGGGAGAGGGAGAGAGAGAGAGAGAGAGAGAGAGAGGGAGCGTCAGCAAATTGTCTCCGGACGCGAAACTCAAAGGGACGAGGACGGGACCGACCAACCTGCGCGTGTTTCCGTGTCACATAAACCGTAGACAATCTCCACGTGTCCGTAGAGTCCTTTTACACGCGAGGACGATACGCGTATACAGGCGATACGGGCACGATGGAGCTCGTCGCTCCGCTCGGCGTCGGCTCCAGGATTCGTACGTCGCTGCCGCGCCCGCGTCGATTCGCGTGCTTCGAAGCTGGAACTTGCGACGTTTTACCTCGCGCGCGCAAATGGGAGCAGAAGAAGGACCAGCCGGGTCTAAGAACGTGCGTTTCGCTTCCTTCGGCCGTCGGCCGCCGCGCGAGTCCCAGAGATTCGAAATCTCGCGAAATGCGTCTCAAGACGACGTTATCAGCGCGCCTGCAATTTATCGGATCGATCGCGATTGCGTTGCTCGTTGTTGTCGGGGGGTGGGGGAGGAGAAACAGATTTGGCACCGCGTGACGTCAAAGCAAAGCACTCCGCTGTCCTACATCTAAACACACACACACACATACGCACACGTACACACGTACCCCTCGAGTCTATTTCCATGCCGCGCGGGGTAATAACGACGGCCGTTCCGATTCCGGCGTAATTAATTAATCGGCGCATGTACGTGCGATCGATGCGACGGCTTCGGGGTATTCGGCAATTCTGATCGCGCCGGCTGCGATCTCCGCGCAAGACTTGGCGACGTACGGATCCTCTTCGCACTCCGCTCCGTTTCCAACAACTTGAAAGCCGGAGGGAGCGCGCGCGAGAAATCTGCGGGAAGGACGAGCTGTCCGCTCTCGCTCACAGCGCGAAGAACATCTCGCGATTAAACGCTGTTGAACGCGCGCGCGTGTGTGTGTATCTGAAAGAGAGAGAGAGAGAGAGAGAGAGAGAGAGAAAGAGAGAGATGTACGAACGACGGTCACCTAATCCCGATTTCGCAACGCGTCGTGTGCGACCGATGTAAAAAATAAGAACTCCGAGTCGACGCGTCCGTCGCATTTAGCGTTAAGCGTGCGTCAAATCTGCGACCAGCGAGCGCGACGAGACGCAGTCGAGGTTCGTCGAGACCGAGAGAAAGGGGGGGGGAGAGAGAGAGAAAGAAAGAGAGAGAGAGAGAGAGAGAGAGAGAGAGAGAGAGAGAGGCTGAGTGTCCTCTGAGTGCGAATTGCCGTCTCATCATCGATTCGATGATTCTCGCGTCGCGCAAGTGCGACCGTCGCGTGTGCGCTCGCTCGTCAAGAAGCGATGATTTTTAATCCTTTAGCTGCGCGCGGCATCATACGAGCGATATCCTTGTTTGTTCTCTCCTTAGAATGCAAACGCACATCGCGCGCGCGCGCAGTCACGTCAGACCGTTCTGATTGATTATTTTCCTATTAACCGGCGGAAGTCTGTGATTCTTTGCAACTTCGCTCGCTTTTATCGTGAAAGTCTCTCGGTTCTCGTTAACCCGTATAGCGCGCGCACGCACACAGACACCGGTTCGCACACGGTGTCCCCACGGCTAAAGGATTGAAAAAGAGAACGAGAGATGGTGGAGTGGTGAAAGAGAAAGGGAAGGAGAACGAAAGACAGAGCCCCCTCGTCCCTCGCAGAGAGTTTGTCTGTCCAGAATGTCTAGATGTAATCGAAACGAGAGTCTCTCGCCGTACCGACGACGTCCGATTTTCCAAGATTTTGCGACCATTTCTCGAGTCTACGTCCCGTACGCACAGCTCTGTAAAGCAACACCCGCCCCAAAACATCGACACTAATTGTTCGTCCTTTTTAACAAATATAACAGAACTTACGTCTTACGTCTCGCTTTGGCGGCGGCGTGCGAGACGGTATGTCATTGCAGTGGAATTTCTCCTTCGCGCGACGCCACGCGGAGGAGAAGATGGCGGCGCAGCCGGGAAGGGGGAGAGAGGTATAACGGAAGGATTGTCGCACTATCATTGCACTGGCGTGCCGTTTCGCCGCGGTCTTTTGTAACCCTCTGCCACCCTGCCCGACTTAATCGAGCGTCACGAATGATCCGGTAATCAGGCTATCGATCGGATCAGGCGCTCGCTCGCCACGGCTTGTAAACGTAACGCGAGAGAGTGTCGTTACGAAGTTTCGAGCGCAGAGTTGCCAGCGATTATCCGTGGCTCCAAGGACTCGATGCGTGGCGGTAACTCGAGTGAACGCTGCGAAAAGAAGTAAAACGGGCCGCGCGCGCGCGCGCGCGCGCGCGCGACGAGCGAGCGAGCGAGCAAGCGAGCCGGCCTGTCTGCGTGGCCGCGTCGCGTCGGCGCGGTTTTTCAAGCGCGCTTTTCGGGATCGTCGCTTTTCGGGGAAATCGCGTACGCGTACGATCGATGCGAAGTTTCGCTTCGAAACTCCTCGTCCTCTCGTCGTCTCGATCGTTCAAACGCACCGAGTCGCGCCCGTCGCGCGTCGCGTATACGCTCGCTAACCGATCGTCGAAAAGCAGCAGACGCAAAATGGCTGCCTGGATATGAAACGGTTGCGGAGCGGTAGAGGGAACGGAAGGATAACGATACCTCTGCTGCGAACGATCGTCACGCGTTATTTCCTTGCTCCACGCGCTCCTCTTCGTCGCTGGGATTCGTCGCATCGCATCGATTCTCGCTTCGTTCTCGCGCGTAGTCACGTAAGACGAAGGATAATCGCCGAGCATTACGCGCGCGCGCGCGCGCGCGCGCGACCGAACGGAAGAAAGGCCGAGAACGTAACGGAAGTTACGCACGCGGCTATTTTCTGGATCAGGCGGAAACGATGCCGCTCGGTCGGTATGGTGTTGCCATCTCGCGGGCGGTACACGGGACGACTAAGTGCAGACGAGTGCACGTTGCATCGATACGGGAGGGATTCGCTTCTCACGCGCACCTACCGCACGCGGTGCGTCATCGCGAACAGCTGACCGGAGCAGCTCTGAAAGATGGCGGGTGTGTGTCGGATCAATCGTACCGCCTTGTGCGTCAAACAAACTGCCTAGGAACACAGTTTCCTGCGTAAATGTGTAAATAATTATCGTGTCACTCGTCATGGCGTTCCTGGAGGTCGGTGTTGTTTCTCGCGTCCTGCCACCCGCTCGCCCTGTGGCCCGACATTAACGTGCTCCTGTTCTTTCAGTGGAGGCGCTTCAATTTTTTCGATCTGAAGAAGGAGGTTGACGAGGGAAAAATCGCCGAGACATTCGGAGTAAGACGATTCCTTCAGACAGCCCGATAATTAGCTCGCTCGTTTGCGCTCCCGTCCGATGGGAGGCGAAGTTGCTTCTTCTAATCGCGTTATCGATGTACGTCTTTCACGCAGGACGCGCAAGTCACAGCGGCCACCAGCGGCAATGGCAACTTGGTGTTTGGCGATAACACAGGCAACGTACATCTGGTGAACAGGGCTTACGAGGTGACGACTTTCCGAGCCTATGAACTCACACTGGTCTTGGCGCAGCAAGTTCAACATTCCACCTTCCTGTTCACCATTGGTGTAAGAGTGTCGCTATGACACTTTTCTCACACAATATCTCTTTTTCTTTCAATCGGACATTGAATGCAGATTTAATCAGTTCTGTCTTGGTATAATACAACAGGAAGATGAGCCTGGCTGCAATCCTACCATAAAGGTTTGGAATTTGGCTAAGCCTGACAAACATGGCAATCCAACATGTGTTCGAATAAGCAGAGCCATACCTAGTTACAGAGCTGTCCCAGCGACAGCTCTATGTGTCCACACTAGTCTGACATTGATGACTGTTGGCTTTGGAGATGGCTCTATTATGCTGTACAGGTAAAGAGAATGTGCTTCATTCATACGCTTCGTCGCCATATTTTTATTTCATCTTAAATAAAATTATTGCAACTTGACAGACTCGATATATCGGCAATTTATAAGTTCGTCTGCATATTGATATATCCTTGTTTTACTCTTTCGTTTCATATTACAATTAGATGAAACAATTTTAATATCTTTACATACTTCAACTTCTTTGCTTTCTAGAGGTGACTTGACGCGTGAGAGGAAAAATAAGATAAGAGTCCTGAAGGATACTAATTTGTCGATTACCGGTCTCGCGATAAAATCGACCGGCAAGCAGACGCATCTATTTGTCGCCACGCAGAACTGTGTGTTTTTATACAATGTTACTGTTAAGGATAAAGAACTCAAATCCACCTTGGACACCATGGGCTGCTCGCGCAAATGTAGCGTACTCGCTGAATCGATACAGGACAGCCATTTTATGATTGGACGCAATGACGTACGTGACAAGTCGCTCACGTACTCTCTTCTACTCTCTCGTATGAATCCATTTGGAAATGTGAAATTTTCAGGCCATCTATTGTTACACACCAGACGGCAGAGGTCCGTGCTACGCCGTGGAGGGTCAAAAGGTAATGCTGGAATGGTTCAGAACGTACCTAGTGATAGTGGCGAAAGAAGCAATGAACGTTCCAAGGACGACGACTATATCCGGCAAAGCAAAGTAAAAAAATGCACACTTCTCTCTGATGGTTCCTCTATCACGTGTTATGTCGTAACGTGCGTTGAATGCTTCTAGCACGATAGAGCCGATCCCACCTGGCGTAGACAAACACGTCATCACTGTACTCGACATACAAAACAAATTCATCGTGTTTTCCGCGCCAATGTTGTCTGTCCAGGCGGTCCTGTCCGAGTGGGGTGGATTTTTCATACTCAGCGGAGACAACAAGTTGTATCATTTAGACGAGAAGGACTTGCAGTCTAAATTAGCGTTACTTTTCAAAAAAAATTTGTACGATGTTTCTATCAGGTATAACGCGGGATAACGAGTTAGTAGTGGTTCTATTGGGATAATTTTGCGAGAACTCTTGATAATAAAAGAACACGTATATCGTTGCAGAATAGCTAAAAGTCAGCAATACGACGCTGAAGGCCTCATAGACATCTTCCGTCAGTACGGCGATCATTTGTACTCCAAGGGTGACCACAACGCCGCGATAGAGCAGTACATAAAGACTATAGGCAAATTAGAACCATCCTACGTAATAAGGAAATTCTTGGATTCCCAGCATATCGACAACTTAACGACATATTTGCAAGCTTTACATAAAAATGGACAAGCCACTGGGGATCACACTACCTTACTGTTGAATTGTTACACTAAACTCAATCATACCGACAAACTGAAAGAATTTATCATGGTAAGTCGCATGAGCAAATTGCGAACGTTTGCTGATAGCAACAGCGATAATTACGTGTTACATGATGTATGTATTTGTCGCGTGTTTTATCGTTGTTATTTAGACAAAAGATCGCGAGGTCGATTTTGACGTAGAAATAGCGATAAAAGTTTGCCGGCAAGCATCGCCAGAGGATGCTCTATTGCTCGCGCAGAAACATGGCAAGCACGAGTGGTATCTTCGGATTCAGATCGAGGACAAACGGGAGTATCGAAAGGCTCTCGAGTACATGGCGACGTTAGAATTCGAAGAGGTACCGTGACACTTCATGTGTATGCTTGCGTACCTCTTTCTTCCTTTCTGAAAAATAAACATGCATTTACTTCACCTAACGTCTAAACAATTTTCCAGGCAGAAGTTAATATGAAGAAGTACGGGAACGTCTTAATTGAGAATGTGCCAAACGAGTCTACTCTATTTCTGAAAGCTTTATGCACGAATTATAAGCCTTCCAACAAACCACTCGTAGATCAGGTACGCGTGCGTGCATGCGTTATATCTACATTTTGTTGTGTTCTTTTTTGTTGAATTTAACTATCGTTTACGAGAAAAAGATAAAACTGATACATTTCTTCTCTGCAGGAAGCTCTAGATGGTTATATAGAGCAGCGCGTCGATAGAGCCAATCCTGAGGATTTCATCCACCTATTCCTTAACAATTCCGAACGACTCGTCGAGTTTTTAGAGCATTTAGTTAAGTCGGATACAAGGTTAGTGTATTAGCGTGAAAAGGCGCAAACACTATCGGAACACTATTTCTAATGACATCAGTATTCTTATTTTTATCACATTTTTTCCCAGATGGAGTACACTTGTCTACAATACATTGGTAGAGCACTATTTGCACGTTTGGTCGGCTTTAGATAACGATGTAGCTAAAGTACAATACGAGCAGAAAATCGTGCGGCTTCTGCAGAATACGGAAGCTCGTTACGATAAGCACCAAATATTAATACTCTGTCATCAGCATAATTTTAGGAAAGGATTGCTATTCCTCTATGAGGAGAGCAAACTGTAAGCCACCGTATTATGTCACGAAAGCTCGTATTGAATATAAATCTCATTGTACATATCCGATTTGCTTTCTTCAGATATCAAGAGATATTGAGATTTCATCTGCGGGAAGGAGACAGCGAGCAAATTTTAGCCACGTGTAAAAGCTTCGGTCATCAGGATCCTAATTTGTGGGTCCAGGCCTTGTGGAGTATCGCCAAGAACAAGGACGCGCCGACGAAGCTTCTTGCGGACATATTAGCTTATATCGGTAAATATTCGTGGGATATACTAATCGCGCTCGGAAAAATGCATCGGGACTATCGTTGCAGCTCAGGAAAGACTATTATCTCCCCTGATGGTCATTGATGCGATCTCCACGTCATTGACCTGCACACTGGGAGACGTTAGAACATATTTGTACAGCGTACTACGAGCGGAACACGAGCAAACTCAGGCTGACGTGGAGTTGACGGAGAAGTACAGAGCCGATACTCTGAAGCTGCGCGAACGTATAGAAGCGATAAAGAACAGCACGATAATCTTTCAAGGTTCGCGATGCAGCGCATGCCATCATCAACTAGAATTACCGTCTGTGCACTTTATGTGTCAGCATTCGTACCATCAGCAGTAAGTTTCGCATTCCTCTCTGTGCGCCACTTTTGTCAAATTGCGTTGTCATTTTGTCCATTGATATCTCATACGTGTCAGTTCTCAACTGTCAGTTCCCAACTGTCTTTGACTGAATATGTTGTCTCTTTTCTTCCGACAGTTGCTTCCAAAGCTTCTCAGAAAACGAGAACGAGTGCCCGGCATGTCTGCCGAATAACAACAAATCGCTGGATATTATAAGAGCGCAGGAACAATCGAAAGACTTGCACGACTCTTTCCACAGTCTTCTCGATCAAGCGGAGGACCCGTTTTCCTTGGTAGCCGATTATTTTGGTAGAGGCGTCTTCAAGAAGATAATGGTAATCACCGATACGGACAAATCGTTGCCTACTCCGACCAAATTGGAGGAGCCTAAGCTGAACTACGGGCCGGGCGCAGAAGCGAGGCTCAGGTTGAGCGAAGGAAAGAGCTCTATATCAGGTAGGATGTATGATGTTTTATCTTTCAAAGCGATACACGTATTGACCGATCGGCGCGCGACCTTGTTCCGATATAGGTAAAACGGATACACGACGAGCCGCATATGAAGTCCACATGACGGAGGAGCGTTTACGAAGTTTCCCGAAACCAGACGCGTATTCTTCGTCGTTGGAGGCCAATATCTCGGGCACGGGTAGCGGTCTGTCGACACCGCGGGTTAACTCCGCGAAAGCCTCGCCGGTGCCGATCAGAGAAGCTCGTATTCTCAATAGCAACACGCCAATGTCGTCGCCGAGCGAGAAACTTTTTATCCCGCCAAAGAACTCCATCGTGCCATCGAATCCCTTCGAGACGGACGATTACGACGAGTCTAAAAATCCCTTCGCCAAGGATATTGACGACGACGCGACTAATCCTTTCAAAGACGATACTGATAACGACAACGGCAAGGGTGGCAACGGTGATGACGAAGACCATTACAACAGAAATTTGAACCCGTTCAGCAGATAAACAATACTTTTACGTGCTGCAAGGATACAACGCAAGCCAGAACCGACATTTATGTACACTGATGAATATTTCACGATACGTAAGGAGAAGAAAACAAAGAAGAGACCGTATAAGTACATAAGAGGGGCAAGTGTTACACAATGAACCTAATATACTACGTGTAAGCTTGTATAGTCCATATTTCAATTTTGTATGCCGCAAACTTGTTAGATTTATCAGCATTATGTTGCTACTACACCATGCTAAACATTAGTTGGCAAAGCTGGATTAAAAAACTAATACACTGCTGTGTGTTGGTTTATAGATACATATGGCTTAATGTCCATCTAGAATGGTACAACGACAAGTGTCCAACATACTGTCGTTTCTTCGGTAAGAAGTGCAGTGTTTAAAATCGATGCCAGCTAAAACACGGTAAAATAAATCACACAGAGACTCGAAAAATTGCTGAATGAAACTTCAGTAATGTAGGAATACATTAATGCACCTTTATTGTGATGGTTTGTGATGTGAGAGGAAGGGAGGAGACAAGACCAATCGCAAATTGGCTGCTACGAAATTTCTTATTTCGTCGCGTCGCACTGTGTATCACGTTCCGCATCAAAAGCGCTTTCGTTCCGTCACAATCGTAATGTAATCTCTAAGGATAAAGTGAATTAAAGCAAAGTGGAACCAAGATTAATATAATCATGCCTTTGTATGCTGTATCTACTTGGATAGAAAACAGCATATATACAGATATTGATATATACACACACAGACTATAAGATTGTACAATTATACTAGCAATAAGGAAATAAAAGGTTACGAATCTATACTTACTAATTCTTCAATCTTTTATTGTCTAGTTATACAGCTAAATTGTTTGTTAAACAAGACTCTTAAGACTATTCAGGATGCTTATTTCCTGTTAGCAAGTATAAGTGAAAACTCTGTGCTACTGAAGAATAAAAAATTTTGTTTAATCCACCTTGTATATAAGGTGCTGCGGAATAATTTTTACAGAGCTCGTGGAAATATAGACTGAATTAAAATAATATAATGGATAAAAAACTGAATAAAAATATAAAAATCCCATAGCGTTTCTCGATATTCGTAACAGTTTTTAATTAGAGAAATTTAACGAGTAAGCGCGCGCCGAGACAAATGGAGAAGCTTCGCAGCCGCTCGGGCCACAAGCGCGGCCTAATGGAACCAGCAACCAATGATGGCCTGCGGGTGGGTATAGATGCGACGAGATATAACACGAATAGTGGCGCGTGTCGTTCCTTTCGCCGGGCACCGGCAATAGTTGCTAGCTGTATTATCTTGAACGTAGCTGTAGCAGTCGCTATTATCATCGTTCTTCAATTACCTCCGGGTCCCCTGGGGCTCCCTTGGTCAATACAAAAATTTACCCAGGGTTGACAGTCTTTTATATTACCTCGTCGGTGATTTGGTGCATTCTTAGTAGACCCCTTATTTTTGCGGAATAAATAAAAGGTCTAAGGCCCAGTTGCACCAACATTATTCTGGTTTTAAGTGAGACTTAAATATACCTCTGTCTTTATTTACTTAGTAAGAAAGATAAAGATAGACTTATGTTTAAGTATCACTTAAAACCAAAATAATGTTGGTGCAACTGGGCCTAAGAGATTATTAGACCCGTTATTTCTGCATGCGACGTTGCGGCAAGAAATCAGAATATTTTTCTAATCAATTAATTGGATCTTTATGTCTCTTTTTTAATGTTTCCCGGTTCTTTACAGCTTTATGGCTTCTTCAAGCGCTGATGGCGCTATTAAATTGTCATGGTCTATTCAACGCTGCTCATTTTCGTCGTGGTGGTAGCGCTGAGTGAGCTGACGTCATGGTTGAGTTCCGAAATTGAAATCAATAAGCGATGTGCAATGTTGTGTGTACATCACGGACGATGGGAAATGGCGATTATGACAAAACAGCGCGTTAGATCTTATTGTGTTTGATTCCGCGGGATCGACGAAACGAATATTCGTTAGTGAAATGGCTCGCAACACCAAGAAGAAACTCGCGATATTTGCGGGTACATCCAAGTGTCTCATTTACGTAAGTTATCTCGACTCTTGCTGTAGCGGACTATGTTCGCTTTTTTCTCTGAGATCTCTGTCTCTTATGTTTTGAAACATTACCTGTAGAGATTAGGATTTATTCTCAATCGTTATGAGATCTGCACGAATAGTATTTATGTTATAATTTTATGCTTTTTTTAATTTGTTATTTATGCACGAATTTCATAAAGCTTATAAATGTTGTAAATTATATTTTAGGCAGAAGCAAAGTACTGTGCCTCTGAAATACCTGGGGAAATAAAATATTATGAGTAAGATATATTTTTTTCAACATTTACACACTAATCATTTTATTTTATTGTTTATTTTATATAACATCTTATTACATATATATATATATATATGTATATATGTATGTATGTATATATGTATGTATGTATATATATATTCTTGTATTATATTAATGCAACACTTGCAGATGTTCAAGGACAGAATATTGTTGCGCACTTGGTTGTTGCATATCACCAGGACTCCATTTTCATCATTTATGGTACTACTGGTAAATAAGATTATTAATAATTATCCATTTGTTTTATATATTAAATTAAATAATTAATGAGTTAATAATTTTGGTTGCTATTTTGATAATTTTCTTTAATTAATATATTATACAATATATTAATGAGATATTTTTGTGATTAATTTTTTAGGATTCTGGTTATAATCATGTTCCTGGTCTGTTCTGGTGGTGGTTGGTGGTACCGGTACTGGTTGCAAGGCAGATACAGAGCAGCTGCTTCTGCTATTCCAACTCGATCTTCCAACACTAGATCCCAAAATTCTCTTCGCAATACGCCCTGTCAGGCGCAGCAAGCTCGTATTACATACAACTCTGCGAGAAATACTGTCCTGTTACATCGCATGTGGAAAGGCTCGTACTCAGTTAATGTTCATTGTGCTTTTTCACAGTGTCGCACATTTACTTTATAAGTAAGAACGAAACTTTGACGATAATTTATTTATATATACATATTTTCTCGTGTCTCAATAGGTCCTCAAAGGAATGCAGCAGCGCCGGCGTATAACGGCAACGCGACCACGTCGACGCACTACCAGAACATGAATGTTGTACTGAACGATGCCAACTGTCCTTATTATCAACTATACGGTCCTCCGCCTAGCTATGACACGGTGATAGCTCAAACACGCGGCAAGATTTCTAATCCGGCATCGCCGGAGTCCTCGACCGCGCGGATGGGTCTACAAACAGCGAATGTGATACCGAATCCAAGTGTACCGCAGTGCTTTTTCTACACTTGTAATTCCTCGCCGAGATTGGTGGACGGTAATTCGAATCAATGTCAAAGTGATAACGCGAACTCGACACGGCAACTCGACAATCACGAGAACGTGCCGTTCGCGCATTTCTCGCAATACTGCGTCGTGAACGGCGCGATTAGCCAGAACGTGTGCGTGCCCTTGGAGTATCCAGACGCATCGGCTGCTTCCGGTGGCGGCAACTTACCGTTCGGTCACAACTATCAGAGCAATCTTAATCAGTTGCCAGGTTATCCAACGGACAGATTGTCCGACACCTCGGACGCGGAGAACGCGACGGCTCACGGCTACGCGGTGCAGGACACAGAGGGATACAACGCGATGCCTAATGCCGACGCGGCGACCGGCGGTGGCGCTGTTTCATGGCGCGCCGCCGACGACCAAGCGGCGCTGAAGATCCACGCCAAGGTCGTCGCGCAGGGCGAGGAGAATCGTCGCGACCAGGTGTGCCGGCCAAAGTGCATGACCGCTGCGGAGACGCACAACCCGTCGCCCAAGTCGAAGGCGAGTGGCAGCGACGAGAACGAGACGAGGCGCATGTCGCCCGTGATCGCCGCGGTTGGCCACGAGAGGAACTTCGCTAGAGAACGCACAGACTACGGCGGCTCACTGCGATTGCCGCGTAAGCACGCCGGCGCCGTCGTTCACCAGGGTGTCGCACCTTATCAAGGCGGCGACAGTTTCCACAGAATACTGTCCAAAGACTCGTCGAGTCCCGCGGCAGTCGCTGCTCTGAATTCCACGGCGGCTCCCGGCGCCGCGGAGCGGCAACTCCAGGACGCCGGCGCCAGCTCTTCTCAATCAAATCCATCCAATAATGTGATACTAGAAACGTTTATTTTTGACAACGCCCCGCCCACGTGCGTCAACATCGAGGAGGCGAGCGATCCTCGTGCAATGAACCGCAGTACAAACTTTGATCTTGAAAGTAAATACAAATTAGACAGATCGAAGTCGCTAGACTGAATACGCCACCGTCGCAAGCTCTTGTCGCTGTGAGATCGACGCGATGTTTATTATTATTCTTGTACATGTCTCCGTCTTATCCGCGCGCAACTCTTACAAAACGTTCGTCGCTTGTTCACCAGGTCGGAACTGCCCTCCGACGGCTGTCGCGATTCCCCGGCTATCGCGCTCGGGAGATGCGACAATTTCACTCTCTCATGCCGAGGTGACGCGACGTCAGCTTCCTTGAACGTCGGCTCGGGCGGCTAGTGGCTCTCGCGTTAATCGATTCGTTGACACCCTCCTCTCGCGTTACCTCGTTATCACGCGCCGATTTAATTATCTTGTCTGACAGTCGGTCTCGCGTTACACAAACATATGGCTATGTAACCTTCGACATTATCGACGCGCGAGGGAAATTAGCGGACTTCAACGATAGATGTTAGACTTGGAAATCGCACTTCCGCAGTATTTTTTGCAAGTAATACCGCAACTCCAAAGCTATACTATTTTGAGGGAGAGAAAGAGAGATGACCTACTGAACTACTAAATATTGTCTGTAGATGTAATAGAGAGAAGAAAAGAGAGAGAGAGAGAGAGAGGAAAGGTGGGCGAGGGGGAAGGAAAAGAGAGAGAGAGAGAGAGAGAGAGAGAGAACGAGCGAGAGAGGTGATACAATTCTATTTACCTACGAAGTATTTGAATTCCGATATCTCTGCGACTGTGCATACTGCCATACACGGAAAGATCTTTTTGAACGTTGTATCTCGGACATACACACACTGATCTCTGAGTTTGATCTCTGCACTATACCTAAGTAACGTAACTGATAAGATCTCGGAACGATAAGACGAAAAAAAAAGAAGCATATCTCGCACAGAAACTCGTCTTTCCAGCGGCCCATTTTCGACCCACTTACGGATAAAAGGAACAAAAAAAAATATATCGGTCATTGTGTTTCATTATGAACTCTACATTTCTAACGGTGTTTTGAACTGGCCAATAATTATCGCACGTTTTTTAATCCTCGAATAAAAGCGCACTTAATGAATCAAGTCTCCATTGATATAAAAAAGAGAGAGAGAGAGAGAAGGGGAGGGAGGGAGGGTGGGAGAGATTCGCGTTTTAAATATTATTCGTATAAATTTCGATGTGTATTTTCTAACGATAATATTGAGATATCGAGCTCGGCGAAACGCCGGGACGATCTTACCTTCGAGCAGTATTTCCGTCAAAGTCCTCTGGATATATTTAAGCCTCTATTATATATATGTGCACATAAATATTATCTCGACACTAAGAAGCGCGTAGGTTTCATTACTACACGCTGCACACGTATTTGATGTTAAGATATAGTTGTCCAAAGGAACTCTAGTTTATTTACGATCCGAGTAAAAACGGGACTGCACCGTTTGTAATGAACAAGAGAGCGAACGAGAGAGAGAGAGAGAGAGAGAGAGAGAGAGAGAGAGAGAGAGAGAGAGAGAGAAAGAGAGAGAGAGAAACAAAATGTGGCCGGCACTGCGTTATTAAAAATTGAGAATGGGGAACGCATTATACGCCGGCGAAAGTACGTTCGCACGAATATCAGAGGAGCGAGAACGCGAGGAACCGCATACGTACGCAGGCGGGAGTGCGACTCTCGTTACTTGATCCAGTTTAATTGCATCCTCATAAGAGGCGCGACATGTTAATTTCCTCGCGTAAGCACGCGGGCGACGTCCTCGGTATATATTTTCACTTCCATTTTTCTCTGTACATATTCTCACGCGGAACTATATATATATATATATATATATATATATATATATATGTATATACACGGAGAAAAATATCAGAAATGTCCGATTGTTAATTTTGTTATTCGATTAAATACACCGGATATTTGATCGGATAACGAAATTAACAATCGGATATTTCGGATATTTTTCTCAGTGTACATACATATATATATATATATATAAATATATACATATATACATATATCGTGCAAGGCGAAAGACTGTCCTCTCGTGCTGTGACATGAATATTTGATTTACTACACTTTTGTCGACGTACGTTGCAAGAGGGAGCGACGCCGTGGGAACATTAACTTGCAGTCGTCCAACTCCACACCAGTCGGAGACGAATTGCATTAAGCGATCGGTTCATATATACACACGCGCTATACATACGTATATATATATATATATATATATATATATCTTCTTCGATTATTCTTTTATACTACATACACAAAGGCAAACACAACACACGCGCGTGCGCGCGCGCTCGCGAGCGCGCGTGCACGCAGTCCGTGCTTAAAGTCACAGGATACTACGTCGAGCGCACTAATCCTTCAACTTCTATAGGTTCTTGAACGTAATAGCGGTCCAAGAAACGCGTGTACACGTGCCAATAGCGAAACAAGTCGAGTCCGTTAGATAGCGAGCTCGCAGCCAAGGAGGTCTTACCTTTGAAGAAAAAAGAAGAAAAAAAACAAAGAAAAAGGGAGGGGGAGGGAGAAATGCGGAGAGGGCGAAATAAGAGAGAGAGAGAGAGAGAGAGAGAGAGAGAGATATATATATACACAATTATTTTTTGTAACCGATCCTAATTCGTGAAAATCGGGCTGTTTAACGGGTCCGCGTGATTATACCGTGTAAGCTTGTACTATTGTATATCTCGTACGTAATACATTACCGGTCACGTCGAGTCTACGAGAACTTCTAGAGGGTCAGAAGCCACTATATTTTGTGTGTGCGTGCGTATAGTCTACGCGTTATATCGTACAGCTTTAACGAGCTCTAGTCCGAAGGAATCTTCTCACCGTAATGTGCAATCATGTATTCGCGCGAAATCGAGACGACACTGTAAGATACTGTACCTAGTGTGGTAAGAATGTCCGAAATAAAGACACGAAATATTTATTCACGTACACACGCCCGAGGCAATATCTCTGCGTTCCGCCCTCTGCAGTCGGCCCCCGTCAACGCGGACGGTCTGTCTGAGCTCGCTTGAGCGGAATCGGACGTTTGTGTGTGATGTACGAGCGCAGAAATGCGAATCCGCGAGGACTCCGCGCTGTTTTTCCCCTTCGAGTTATTGTCGTTCGGTAATGTCGGGAGTAATCGCGCTTGGAGCGCAATTGCGCCCGACTTAATCTCGTGCTCTTCCGCGCATTCTCCTAAACTCGCGCGTATCCGCGGCTCAAAATGAGGCCACTGAGTCGCGCTGAGAGTTCTGCCCGAGTTTAATACGCCGATTGATTGAAACATCGAGATCGAGTGCGCTAATTGTCGCTCGTGTCGCGATCAAGCAGCACTTGCGAGACAATGGAAATGTCGCACGAGAAAGCGGACGCCGCTGAGGAGATCCGCAGCAATTGCGACCGATTATTTATTCAGAGACGACGGAAGCACGTTCGGGCGGGCCGCGTGATTCCACCTGGATGACATCCGATTGTCCGTTTCGCCCTCTCGCTGACCACCGAAAGAGTCAAGAGACCGACGAAATCACCGACGTGCCATAAATCGTCGAGTGTTTCGCCGAACCGACCACAGTTAATAAAGTGCCGAGCAATATCGCGGCGATAAAGCGCGATAGCTGTCGCGTGTCGACGATAAGAGATGGCAGGTGCAAACGCACGAGCGAAAGATCAATATAAACAGGATCACGCGGGGGTGGTAGGCGGCAGCGAAAGAGGGAGAGAAAGCGAGAGAGAGAGAGAGAGAGAGAGAGAGAGAGAGAGAGAGAGAGAAAGACTGCGCGAGAGCGGGGCGGCCGACGGGATAGGGAGGGGGTGCGAGGATGAGCGAAGGGCGGTAAAACATCCCCCATGAGAGAGAGAGAGGCGGCCGCCGAGAGCCGTTTGCAGCAACGTTTTAGCGGCCACGCTGGCGCTGGAGAACGGCGAAAAATGCCGTAGTCTCGCAAACAACGAGCCAACAGTGACCCAGTGAGACCCTCCTCCTTCTCCGCTTCGCCCCCGGCCGACCTCACTCCTCCGGTCCACCCTCCGCCACATCGTCTCTTGACATCTTTCCGTCTGTCCGTCGGCAATCGCTGCCCCCGACTCTCGCGTGTTCCGCCCTCAATGGTGAATCAATAATTAAGGTGACAGTGCAGTGGTTGCGCGATCGAGTGCCGGGCCAAGATGTCGGTGAAGGTGAGTCTTCGGACAAGCATCAACGCGAGGATGCCGCGTTCCCCGACGACGCGGATTCGGGTGTCGCCCGGAGACGACGACCGTGGTCGTCTCGAGAGGCCGAGACCGAGGGCCACGGAGACGTTTCCGCCTGCGTTCCGCCGGGAATCTCGCCGATATGTAACGCTATGTATGCTTTTAATTGAGACGCTCCTTTCGGGATGTACATTGCTCGTTGCGTGAGGCAAGGCCGCCAGGCGATGCGACAGGAGCGCGGGGGAATCCGGCTTGTTGCGAGCCCCTTGGCGCCTCGCGGCTCTAATAACGCGTAATTGGCCTACCGCTGTTAACGAGATAGAGAGAGAGAGAGAGAGAGAGAGAGAGAGAGAGAGAGAGAGAGAGAAAGAGAGAGAGAGAGAGGGAGACCGTAGATCGTGGCTTGTGCGAGCGCGAGCGGATTGAATTACGCGTGATTTTACTTTGTCCCGAGTGCGAACAACGCGCGTTTCACTCGCGCGAGTGCGGCAATTCGATCGCGAGTAGTCACTCAACGTGTATCTCTCAGGCTACATTCGCGGGGTCGCTGCTCATTATACGCTGAAAGAAGATAGCTGCGCGAAGCAGCGCTCGGCTCTGAGCGCCGATGCACTCGCAACCGCCTGCACGTATGCAACCCGCGAGCCCGCTGCAATCCGCGCGTCGCGACGATACAAATTTTTTTGTATCCCGAGACACAGACTCTGTTTTCTCTTGGTCCCCCGGGGGACGACACGCGAGAACGACGCGCAAAGTGGCATGTCAGCCGCGGGAGATGTAGAGCTGTGTGTTTGCAAAAAGTTGCGCGCGTGTACACGGAGGGGGAAAGTCTGAAATGAGCGCGACAATGTAAACGCGTGTCGCCCGGAGGAGAGACGCGGAATCTCTCGGTTCTCATAAAACTCAAATTCGGTTCTAAGGCCGTAAAAAGTATTCGCAGTCGGGTCTTATACTTAAGATTGCCTCAAGTTCACCTTCAGCCACTCCGTAGCCAATGAAACGGTTTATACTCGTGCAGCAGTTGAAGATGAACTTGAGACTGCGTTTCTCGAACGTAAGGCTCGAGAAACGTTCACGGTCACGCTGATCCGAGACTAAACTTGTTTCTCCGGACTCGCGCGCGATGATGCCGATTACAAGTGTCCTGAAGAATCGTTTTTATTCCTCGATACTTGACCCGCGCGCGTTTTGTACCGAGGCACTCGGTATTCAGGTGTCCCCCGGAAGCGTTCTCTCTTCTCACTCGGCTCTGGCTCCGAAGGCGCCGTCGAGGTCGCTTTCGCCGTCGCGCGTGCTTCCTGTTGCTCTTCTTACAGCGCGCGCGACGCCGGTGCGACGTCTGCCAGCGACGGCGAGTCGAGTCGCGAAATATTTTAATGGTAATAACGGCGGCCACAAGTGTTCGCTTCCTGCTGAAGCGAACGCTTCAGCGAAGATAAAAGCGAGGGGCCCGCGAAAGACACGCGTGCGCGCGCCGCGACAACGCGTGCGCCTTTGAGCGCGCGCGAGCGCGCTTTTCGGCGCGCCGCGCGCGCGCGCGCGCGCGCTCGCGAGCGATTTCAGTTCGCGCGTCGCCTCGTCGCCGATTGGACTCTGCTTCATCGGCGGATCGGAGCGCGACTGCTCGGCCGCCGCGAAAAGTGCGCTCGTTCCGCCACGGCCGCGGCTCACAGAAGCGAGCGATGTCGGCCTGACGGACCGCTCTTTCTTCCGTCTCTTGGCGTTTGCTGATTAAAAAGTCACTCGATCGGAAGGTCCGTTGATTACGTGCGACTTGGTGCGAGGTGGTGGTTTGCGATCATGCAGCAGTCTTCTACGAATCAGGTCCGAGGTGCTCTCTAGTGCGTCGCATGTTCTGCCCTTTGAACGGGAATGTTTCAGGCAGACAGGCAGGCGAGACGGCCGCTTGATATCGTTACGTTACGTTATTTAACACACACGTACAGCTTGGCCGGAATGCGAAAAGCGCGCGCGGGCTGAAAGGACTTTCCAAGCGCGGCTGAAACGCGGCTCCACCGCTTGTAAAATTCACTCCGGACTGGTGAAAAGCTCTCCGTGCTAAAAGTGAATCTGATGAGTTTCACGCTCGAGCGTTTAAACACGCGCGTGTCGCCGCGCTCTTCTCGCGCGACATTCAGCCGCGCGAAGAGCGCTCGCGCGTAAACTATCTTTCTGTCGCGCGTTTCGAGTTTTCTCTCTATGTAGGCCGCCTTTTAGCGAAACGGTGCAGCTTTTCCTCTTGCTAAAGTCCAACGAAAAGTACGCTTCGCATGATTGCTACACTAACATGTAGAAGGAGGCGATGAGAGGCAGAGAGAGAGAGAGAGAGAGAGAGAGAGTGAGAGGGGAAAGAGGAGAGGAGGGAGCTGCCATGACGTTGGCGGGCCGAGGCACATGCGATGTATTTATAAATCTGTCATCTGCTTTGGTTTACGATGACGTGAATGTTATCAGGGAATCTCGCGAATCTTGAGCGAAGGCTGCGAAGTGAAATGCGTCAATACGCACTCTGACGGATGAGCACGCGCGCGTCGTTCACGTGCCTCGTCGTTCGGATGCGATTGGCAAGTCGACCGTGACTGCAAGAACGCTCCGCACGATATTTCCGCGTTTCCCGTTAAACGTCGCGCGGGCAAGATACACGCTATTGATAAGCGCGAGAGCGTTCAGTGTTGAATAATAAATACCGACCGGCCTGATATCGGGCCGAGCGCGCGCTCCGAGCTGGGCCGCCGTCGCCGCTAGCGGCGGAGAGCCGGGGAAGGGCAAGAGGGGGCGGTGTATTTTTAGTATCTTCTAAAAGCGTAGCCCCGTCGAGATTCGCGCCTAATTTCCGCGAGTGGGTTCTCGCGAGTTTCGGGGAAAGCCGCGGCTCGGCCGGCCGTCGCCGACTTCGACGGAGACTCGTCCAAGCCGCCAAGTGCGCACATCGTCGAAGATCGCGTCGCGAAATTTTCCACCGAAGGTCGTCGTGTTTTCGCGTCGAGTCTCAGTCTCCCGTGGTTGTCCCGCTGGGTTTCTCGTTTGAAAGAAAAGTCACCTGAAAGATCACGCCGACGGAGAAGCGAGAGAACGGCGCGGCGCGACGCGCTCGTCAGCGCGTGACTCGAATGAAACGAGGAGGAATGGCGCTCATCGCTGCGCACTTGGGCGAATTTAATTCGGCGACTAACGCGAACCGCTTTTCTCGCTTGTCGACGCGTCGCGAGGGTTGCACAGCACGTCGGCACGGTGTGTCTTAAGTGTGCGCAAATTGGGATCATTGCGTCGTCATTACATTTCCGCTCGGCGTCGTGTCGTGTCACAAAAACAAATGTCCGCGACGCGGCTGGCGGTCGGAGAGGTGCGAGTGTGAGGTGCGCGTCGCATTCGCGCGGGGATTCCCGCGAGCGGGGATCTCTCGCGGTAAGTGTCTCCGAAGAAATCCGCGCGATCGAGCCGTTGAGCAAGTCGAGCACTCCGAAGGCGCTCTTGGATCTTCAAAGTCACGCTGATCTTCGCGCTCGCTTTCGTCGTGCGAGGGCATCATGCCTCGCGCGTAAAAGCTTGACGCGCGCGCGCGCGCGCGCGTTACGTCGCCTCGTTCGCCTCGAGCGTGCCGCTATTTTTCAGCGAACAATTCCCGCGACCGACGCGACCGACGCGACGGTCGCGCGTCTCGCATGAGAGCAATTCGCATATGTGACGCTCGCCGACACGTCTGTAACAACGCGCGGACGATGAAGCTATGAATAAGACGATTAAGACGCCGCGGCGGTGGAACTCTCGCAACGAAACGACGCGCATTGCGAATTAACGGCGCGGTCGTGGAGCGCGGAGGAAATACTAACTCGTCTCTCCCGCTGAGATTAAAGTGCGCGCGAATTCCGCCTCGCGTGGAAAGGGGTATCGCGATCAGTTAAAGAAACCGGGCTCTTATCGTTACATAAGCGCTCACGCTTATGCGGCCTTCTGCTGTCAAGAGACTACGCGCGTTATCAAGCGCAATTTTAAAATAAAACGATCGATAGCGATCCTGAGAGAGTACGAAGTACGTTGCGGAGCAAGTCGCAAGCGCGAACTTTCGTGCGAATTAAAACAAGAAGGTTGAAAAGAACATTCGCAAATTGTAAGTGCGAGCGGGAAAGAGAGAGAGAGAGAGAGAGAGAGAGAGAGAGAGAGAGAGAGTTGTGCGTGCGAGAAACGAGGACAAAAGCTCTTCTTTATTAGATCTTCGGTGGAGATTATTGTTTTAATCAATCCCTCGCGCCTCGCTTCTCTCACTCTTGCGATGTACAAAGTGAGATGAGTGTGTGCGTGAGCGCGTGTCATGAAATTATCGTAATTTGCCGCAATTTTCCTCGTAAAACGCGATGTCCGAGAGATAATTATGTTTCATCGATCGTCGTAATTTATAAACCCTGGATAATATCTCTCTCTCTCTCTCTCTCTCTCTCTCTCTCTCTCTCTCTCTGTTTCTCTCTTTCTCTTAATTACATCAATTTACTCTCTTGTACATTCGATCGTTTAATAATTGAAATGCTGAATTGTTAACTGCTCAATTAATAAGTTGATAATTAAAAATGCACGTTAATGGGCGCTGGTCTCTCGCTGAACGCACAAAGACACTCGTAATATATGCCATAAATTAACACGCATCGGTGTTCTCTCTCTCCCCGTGCGCGCGCGCAGTAAATAAATAATTAACGTCGCGTCCATCCGCGACGTAATTTTACACGCGTATTCACGCGACTGTCCCGATGAAAGCGGCCGCGATTGCGGGGAAGTATGCCGTCCGGAGGACGGAATGGAAACAAACAAATCTGCGGTCTCCCGTTATCATCTGCGACAATGCCGGGAGGCGCGACAGTTGTGCGCGAGGACGCGAGGCGCGTTCAAACATTTTCGGCGCGCCGAACGAAATTATTTCGCGCCGGAGATTTATGACCGACTAATTGCCTTCTTTTCTTATCTTCAATTCAGACACGAGACACTGTTCCGCTATCACTTTTATCTTTGTTTGCAAAATCCGTAATCGCCATAGTGCAGGGAAAATATTGAACATTTACATCGAGCTTTCTTTCCCTCTCCTCCCTGCCCCCTCTCTCTCTCTCTCTCTCTCTCTCTCTCTCTCTCTCTCTCTCTCTCGCGATGCTGATATTAGCCGATACCCGCGAAATTTCGCCAAACATTCGTGTCAAATTTCTTCGATATGCACGGTCATAGCCTAATATAGGTCTCCGCAACGACATATGCGCGCCGTTCGGACGAAATTCTCTATTTATTATCGTAACTTTGGGGGGCGAGAGCTCGCGAGATGCAACCGAGCGTTGCAAACAGCGTCTGTTTTACGCTCACATCTGTACTCCCTCGTGTGTGTGTTGCTCAGATGACGAGGTACAAACCGGCCGAATTCGAGGATGAGGAGAGCAGCATCGGCTCGGTCACCCTGAACAGCGAAGGTATCAGCACATCCGCCACGCATATAAGATATCATTCGGTGAGTTTTTCCCCGACTCCGTTGGGTATTAATAGCGTTTTCGGATTAGCGGCCGTTAAGCGCGAGCGGAGGAAACGAGTCCCGTTCTGGTGAGCTCGCCGACTCACAGCTCCGACCGAAAATACATGCATCTCCGTTGCACTCTGTTGACGCAGCGAGCACTCGGCGAGAGAGAGAGAGAGAGAGAGAGAGAGAGAGAGAGAGGGAGAGAGAGAGAGAGAGAGAGAGAGAGAGAGAGAGAGAGAGAGAGAGAGCGAGAGAGAGAGAGCGAGAGAGAAAATCATCTTCATCGGCGAAATATCTCTCTTTCCGCTTCTTATTCTCGGAAATAAACGTTGCACTTGAAAGTACTCAAAGAGAGACGCGCGCGTTCTCTCTCTTGAAACTACGACTGATCGCGGCAATTGACGCGCGGCGATCTTCCGCGATAATAACGACTCGCAGGTCGCCGTCTGGTCTTATCAATCGACACGTTCCCGCTGTTTCAGGCTCCGACGCTATGGAAAGCGAGAAGTACTTTAGAGAGATGCCTTTTAATAATGTGCACTACTTTGCTATTAACAGTGTTCATACTTATCAGCTTGTTCCGCCACAGGCCTCAGTGGGACGAGGCGCAGATTCTCCACGTCACCTCCCACGGAGAAGGTAAGACGACCGACCTCCCCCCTCTCCCCCGCGGATTTCACGTGAAAGGGAGGAGAGAGAAGGAGAGAGAAAAGAAAAAGGGGAAAAAAAATCCCTCTCGCGCGTGGAGAAGGACGGACGAGCGAAAGCATTCTCATTCTCCCGCATCTCTCCGCCTTTTCCGCCTTTTCCGCCTTTTCGCGACTCCGCGCGATCGCAACGAGCGATGAAAATGCAGCGCCGACACATTGTTGCAGACGGCACGCATTGCCTAACGCAGCACTGCGTGACGGTGGCGGCGTCCATAATCAATAGTATAGATTACTCCGTCGACCCGTGCGACGACTTCTACGAGTACGCGTGCGGCGGTTGGCACAAGAAGAATCCCATCCCGGACGACAAGAGCGTGTGGGGCACGTTCGGCAAGCTGGAGCAGGATAATCAGCTGGTGGTGAAGTATGTCCTCGGTGAGTATGACGCGTGGACACGCGTGGATGGGAAAAGAATCACGCTCCATCAAAGTATCTGTCGTTCGCGCGCAGAGAGACCGCTCAGCGAGATGAAGTCGAAGGCCGAGAAGAAGGCCAAGTACTACTACATGTCCTGCATGGACATGAACGAGACGATCGAGGCGCTCGGCGCCAAGCCGATGCTGGAGCTGCTGGAGAACATCGGCGGCTGGAACGTCTCCGGGAAATTCAACGTCAGCGTGTGGTCCCTGCAGAACAGCATGCACATTCTGCAGAACGTCTACAACATGGGCGGCCTGTTCTCCTGGGCCGTGAACGAGGACGACCGTAACAGTAGTAGATACATAATCCAAGTAAGCAGATTACGACGGATCGCGCAACGCGAGGAGAGAGAGAGAGAGAGAGAGAGAGAGAGAGAGGGGCGGGGAGACACATGTCGTCCTTCGTTGCATCTTTCGTCACGGAAGATAAGTCGATTATCGTTGATTTCGCCGAGATCGGTCGTTATTAAATTTGACATTCTCGCTGTTGAATATTCCCGAGCGCGTGAGCTGTCTCTGCGAGTGCGAGCGTGCGTCATTTGAATTGCACGGCTGGACTTGTTTGCGAAGCGCTTTCGATTCGCGCTCGCTCTCAATTCCATCCGACTCGTTTGACGCGCGTGCGACGATTCGATTTCGATGGAAAGCGACGTGAAGCTAGAAAAACAGATTTGCCGGCAATTACTCGCCGCTTGTCCCCCCCCCCCCCTCCCGCCGCGCCGGCGCCCGCGAGCCGGCTGTCGTCTCTGACTCGTCTCTCTCTCTCTCTCTCTCTCTCTCTCTCTCTCGTCAGAATCAGAGCCTTTTCAAGGATTTTCTTTTCAAGATCGACCAGGGAGGCTTGACGCTGCCGACCGCGGACAATTATCTCAACGTGACCGAGCACAGCAAAGTGTTGGCTGCTTACTTGGACTACATGACGACGGTAAAGTACATGACGCAATATTCACGAGCTCGTCTTACGAGCGACGCGATCGAGCGGCCGAGCTTGACGATCCGCGTGCGCATCGATCCGCAGATCGGCGTGCTCTTGGGCGGCGAGGAGAACGCCACGAGGAAACAGATGCAGGACGTCATTGACTTCGAGACGAAGCTCGCGCAGATCACCACGCCGCCGGAGGAGCGCAGGGACGAGGAGAAGCTGTACAATCTGATGTCCTTGAGCGAATTGCAGCGCAGAGCACCGTTTGTACGTTCGACGTTTCTCATCCGACCGATCGCATCTTTGCGAGTCCCGAGAAATGTCCCGCGGCACTTTAGAAGTACGCGACGGTAGCAGAGAAAGAGAGTGAGAGAGAGAGAGAGAGAGAGAGAGAGAGAGAGAAAGTCGGAAAAGTCGGAAAAGTCATAGCCCGCGTTACCGGCACTTTCCCCGCCAGCGACATTGTTTGCGTTCAGAAAACAAAGCGCTCACTGAGCGCTTAGTAACTATTGGTCCTTACTGTTAGATCCTTACATTCAGACCAATAACGTTGACGAATTACTCAACCGTTGTGTAACCGTTGTGTTTTCTAAACGCAGCCACTAGCTGCGTTCAGCAGAACAAAGTGATCAGTGAGCGCTCAGTGATTATCGGCTGCGTTCAGAAAACACAACGGTTGAGTAATTCGTCAACTTTATTGGTCCGAATGTAAGGATCTAACAGTAAGGACCAATAGTTACTAAGCGCTCAGTGAGCGCTTTGTTTTCTGAACGCAACCATTGTCTGTGTTTGGAGCATTCATTTAGATTCTTCATAGACCCAGAAGTATTTACCAATCAGGAGCGAGAATCACTAAGCGCTCACTGATCATTTTGTTCTTCTGAACGCAGCCATTGTGACGTGCGACTTTTACGTTACTTCTAGATGTCGTGGGTGGATTACTTCCAAAACGCTACGCGCCTCGTGAACAAGAAGATCAACAGCAAAGCGCAGGTCATCAACTTCGCGCCGGAGTACTTCACGAAGTTGACGAAGCTCGTGCAGGAGTACAACCGGACGAGCAACGGGAAAATGTACGTATAGCTCGCGAATGATGCGCGTCGAAGGCTGCTTCGGAAAGCCAGCGAGGATCCTTCCGATCCTCCGAGCGGGCGAGCGCCGCTCCTCGGCGAGGAGCTGCCTCGGCAGCTCGCGTCCTTCGGATCCTTCGGAGATCCTCGAGAGAGGAGGTCGGAGAGAATGATCAATCTTTTCCTCTACCTTTTCTTTCCGCAGAATACTGAATAACTATCTGGTTTGGCAGACCGTGAGGTCCCTGGCGGCGCTGCTGTCGAAGCCGTTCCGCGAGGCCTACAAGGGCCTGCGGAAGGCCCTGATCGGCTCGGAGGGCGACGAAGAGCAGTGGCGTTACTGCGTCAACGACGTGAATAACGCCATGGGCTTCGCGATCGGCGCGATGTTCGTCCGGGAGGTGTTTCACGGCAAGAGTAAACCCATGGTTAGTCCGCGACGTCGTTCCTCGCGGAGAGAACAGGACGTGGCGGCCGTCGCTTAAGATCGACGAAATCTTGCCCGACGAAACGCGCTCGCGCCTATCCCGGCTCTCTAACCCGCCGTCGCCTTCCGTTTTCCAGGCGGAGGAGATGATCGACTTGATCCGCAAGGCGTTCACGAAGAACCTGAAGAACCTCGACTGGATGGACGCGGAGACCAGGAGGTCCGCCGAGGAGAAGGCGAACGCGATCACCGACATGATCGGCTTCCCGGACTTCATCCTGCGGCCGAGTGAACTCGACGAGCGCTACCGGGACTTGTCGGTCAAGCAGTACGAGTACTTCCAGAACAATCTGCGCGTCAACAAATTCAATTTGCGCAGGAACCTCGAGAAGCTCGACCAGGTGGTGAACAAGAGCTCGTGGATCATGACGCCGCCGACGGTGAACGCTTATTACACGCCTACCAAGAATCAAATCGTCTTCCCCGCCGGCATCCTCCAGAGTCCGTTCTACGACATGGAGAATCCCAACAGCCTCAACTTCGGCGGCATCGGAGTGGTCATGGGGCACGAGCTGACGCACGCTTTCGACGATCAAGGTGACTCGCGCGCCATTTCAAGACGAGCACGCGCAAGTGTCGCCTCTTCCTCTTCCTCCCGTCCTCTCTCTTGTTCGCCGTTCCTTCATCCCTCCGCTCTAGTATTGTATTCCTTCCTGAGTGTAACATTATCGGATTGTCGAATCAGGTCGGGAGTATGACATGCACGGGAACCTGAACCAGTGGTGGAACGACGCGACGATAGAGAAGTTCAAGAGCAGAACCGAGTGCTTCGTCAATCAATACGACACGTACGAGGTGCAGGGTCGACACGTGGACGGCCGGCAGACATTGGGTAATGTTGTTGGGGTTTATTAATAATTATTCTCTTCCGGTTCCTCGACTGATCGCACGTTGTACGCACGTTGTAGGGGAGAACATCGCCGACAACGGGGGCCTTAAAGCGGCGTACCACGCTTACCGGGCGATGCCTAAGAGCTACAAGGATCAACTGCCCCTGCCCGGTCTCAACTTGACGCATCGTCAGCTGTTCTTCCTGAATTTCGCGCAGGTAGGCGCAGTCGCGGAACGAGGCTCGTCCGTCGTTGGTCTAAAGTTACAGAGTAACTTACTTTGCGAAGTAATCGCGCGCAATAGTCGCGTGTAGCCGCTAAGGTTAAGGGAAGGAAACGCTAAGTAATGCTGACGAAGGAGAAGCTTGATAACAGTCAGCCAGTATATCGCCGCTCTCGGCCAGCGATCGCGATAATCACGCGGGAGACGTTCGCAGGTCTGGTGCTCCGCCGTCACCCCCGAGGCAGTCACCCTGCAGATCGAGAAGGACTCGCACACTCCGCCGAGGTACAGGGTGATAGGACCGCTCTCGAACCTGCCGGAGTTCGCGGCGGAGTTCAACTGCCCCAACGACTCGAAGATGAACCCGTCTCACAAGTGCGAGGTGTGGTAACGCCTCGTGTCTCCCCTGGTCGACCGGTCGATGATCGGTCGGCAGTTCGGTTGAGCTCGCTTTCCAGTATCGCGCTGCGACCGTCGGAGCTTCTGATTCGTGCCGTTCGCGTAATGGGAAGCACGTAACGTGAAACACGAGACTGTCTTACTTCGGCCATCGGACTGTGCGTTTTTTAATTCGACATATCACCATTCACCGCGCGAGGATGGTCACTTTGCGTTGAATCGTCATGATGGGTTTAGCCGATCGTTTTGCCACGCGGCGATGCCGGGAGTCATCGAGCGGGCTGAAGGAGAGCAGAGAGGAGAGAATCCTCCTCGCGCCTCCTTCTACCGAAGGAGGATTCTTCGGTGCTAAGTTGAATATTAAGCTCGTCGTTTGTAGCTCGTAATCTCGGGACGCTCGGGAGGAACGGTCCGAGATCGATCTGGCGGTCAACACCTCTGTACCTTTATGTATCGTTTGCTTCTTCCTCGGCGCATTTCAGTGCCAAATTCGAGCGTACTTCGGAGCGAATTTCCCTCACGCGACTCGCGCCCGAGTTTATCAGATCGCGCGAAATTTCTAGAACGCGACGCCGAGGACGCGTCCTCGCCCGATCTCGGTTTTGCTCTTGATCGCTCAAGCGAGCCGCTTCCTGTCACTCGCCGGGATCCGGCGATTCTCGACGATCACGGACAGGAGCGAGAAAAATCGAATTTCTCGTGCGATTTCGCGTCGCGCACGCGAACCTCGAGCGATCCGAGCCTCGCTCGGAGAAGATAGACGAGGGAAACAGGCGGGAACGAATCAGCGGCAAGCCAAACGTTTCGCAGGAGCGTACAGACAGGCCCGAAATTGTCGTCGGAGTTGCTCGAGCAGAGTTGCACGATTCGGGAATTAGAGAATCAATTATTTTCATTGCATTAGCGCGTTGTTCGCCTCCGACTTTTCTGGGGGGAGGGGGGGGGGAGTATTCCTGCGATCGGTAGCGATTTTTTTTTGCGCCACTCAGTCCGATCGCGGCTCGCCGGGATCAATCGAGAGCGCTCAACAAGGACTCGCAGCGTTGCTGCGACCGCTGAAGTATCCTCGACACGCAGTATATATCGTTTTTCACTTTTATACACATAAAATCAGTATTATGCACGAGACTCAGTCGATTCACTCAGGCGTGCGCGGAGCCACGACTGAGAAGTCGATTCCTCGGGAACGATGGTCGAGTTGAACGGGCGAAAGAAACGCGCTCGAGCGATAATTATTGTCACTGCAAGACTGTCGCGAGAGAGAGAGAGAGAGAGAGAGAGAGGGAGAGGTGAGGTGGCCGTGAATGCAGGATCAAATTGTCCACTCGCTTCGACCCGCGGAAATTAATTGGCTGAGCAGCTAACGAACGTGCGAGTCGCCCAGCAATGGGCGCTTCGGCGCGTCAATCGCAACGTCACGAGTACATCGCGCTCGAAGAGTCTCATCCGCAGCTGATGAAAAGTCGCTTCGACGGCAGACGTTCCAAGAGATTAGCGCTTAGGATTCGACGACAGAGATGCGATCAATATTACCGGTCAATCGGAACGTCGAAGCGTACGAGACGAGAACGGCTCGTGCGTTTGCACGCGAGACAAAAGGGATCGGCGACGGAACTCACGCGAGAGCGAATTTCATTTTCTTCATATTGCAAGCATTACGCCAAAAAGCGTCTCGTGCTTCAGTGTTTGCCCAGTATTAACCGCCCAGTATCGCCGAGACGCGCTGGCGGATTTCGCTTCGGCGACGCGCGGGAACGATGGCGCGCTTTTGATAATCTCGGCAGGACGCGATCGGTAGGGCGTCGTAACTTTCGCGGGCAGGATTTCGCGCCGTCAGCGTTTTAAGAGATCAAGGAGCTTGTGGGTGAGTTTTTTAATTCAGCGCATTCTCATCGGATAGATAACAGTACGGCGTCTCCGATGTGTATTTGATAGCATATCTTTAAGAACGGTTTGATGAGCGGATTCAACTGAAGTCAATAATAAGCACGTGTGATCGAAATTGGTAGACATCGACAATTTGACACTTATTTGTACATATAATTCTCAAACGCGGATTTTATTTGTTATTGAAATATGATTTTTACATGATATACGTATCTTTTGAATCGATAGTAGCAGAGTACACTCTCTTAGCACTCATCTCGACCGAAATCCTAGATGATCGAAAATGCATTTTAACGTCTACATCTGAATACAGTGGCACTATTAACAAAAGAAATTGTCAATTTTTATGTGGTTTACACATTTAATTAATGATAAATCTATCTCACTGCCGTTAGTTGTTAAAGATGAAGCATCGGGAGGAAAATCAGAAGAAGATTCATCTTTACACATGTGTTTAATTAAATTATAATTTAGTAGCGTTTCCGCGTCAATAATCATACACAGCCGTTAACGCTTTTAGGTTTGGAAATTACTCCCACCATATTCAATTAGTTCAGCTCATCGATGAATAAAATTACGCTTCGCTGCACTCGCGTTTCATGCGATGGATCAGTCGATGAATTAAAAAACTCACCCTATTTCGCGTAAGAGGTGCGCAAGACTGCTTAGATGCTGACCGGACGGAATCCGGACCGGACGAAATCGCTCGGCGAGGCGACACGCATTGCCGATGTTCGGTATTTTCCCGTTGAGTGCGCTCGATCGAAGCTTCCCCGCCGTTCGTTGCGCGCGAGAGCGGCACTTCCGGCAGGAAGAACCGAGGGAAATTTGCTTCGCGAGAATTTCGATGTTTGTTCTTCGCAAGCCTGGGAAACTGTGGCCTCTGTCACTTTGTTCAACTTCGCGTTGTCGAAATTTGCCGACTGATCGCCGCTTTTCTGGGGTTTCAGTTCAATCGACCTGATTTGTTTTTCCTTCTTTTCGCGGAGAGACGCGGTGAACGCTACGACGGTGAACAACACAGTCGTTGCCGTCGTCGTCGTCGTCGTCGTCGTTCGACTTGATCTCGTACGTAACGTAAGCGTACTTTCTCTTTGCTTCGAGTCCGCATATATACAGTTGTACAACAATTCATCGTAAAGTCTCAGCGACGAAGGCTAAATTTTGTGATCGGCGTGATTTTGTAAATAATGTAATTTACAGGTCAGGGGAGACTTGCGCATCTGACTTGGCAGAGAGGCGCGCGCGGCGTAGGTTCTTGCTTAGAGTTACCGTTGATAACCGTTGATTTTAGCGTTTTAATTAGTCGAGAATGTAAGTCCCACTGCGATGGTCAGCCGCGCGAGCGAAGCTTCGTCGAGGCTTCGCGCTGCGGCTCGTCGTGTTGTTGGACACGGATCGACACGTAGCCGACGTATCTCGGGATTTACGAACGGCATCGAAACTGCATCGACGGACTTGTGTTAGTAGTCGCGCTCTTCCGCGATTAACGTATCGTCGCGCACTCATCATCATCATCATCATCATCATCATCATCCTCCGTAGCGCGCCGACCAAGGCTCCGATAGCGCCGTGAACGTGATAATGTTGAAGCTCACACGAGCGAGTCTTGCACGCTTTCGAAGAGGAGGAAACAGGAAGGAACGCGAAAACGCCAATCAAAAGCCGATCTTTCTTAACTATGTACACTCTGGGGGAGAGAAGGGGAAAGACAAAGATGCGTACGCTCGCGTGCGATGTTTTCCTCACAGCAGGGTGAGGGGGGAGGGATTAAGCGGAGGAGAGGAAATATCACACGCGTAGCTGGCGTAGCACGTCGTCGCGCACATCGCGCGGGACACGTTTACTACTGAAGCACTTGATGAAGCTACTGATGAACTTGCTCGCGAGATGATCGCCGCGGTGTTCGGCGATTACGGCGATGCGGTCGATGAATGCCGGTTAATTGGTCAAATAACACGTTCACCCGGTCGCGTCGTTAGTCCCCGGGGAGGAGGAACGTTACAGCTCCCTCATCGAGACACGTTAATTCTAGAGTGGCGTTAATCCTAGAGGTCCACATATGCCGATGCAATTCATCGGAAATGACCCGGCGTGATTCTCCACGACGCTCAATTACGCTCGGCCTGTCTCTTCGCTTTTCTTTCTTTTCTCTTCGTGTCGAGCGGAGAAGTCGGGAAATATGTTGTCGTTGAGCTCGGCGAAAAATCTTCGAGCAGAGAATAATCAAATCAATTAGTACATTTTTTATCCTAGAAGTCCACGGATATCCCGGTGCACAATTCACCGGGAAGTGTCTTCAGCGGAGCCCAACGTGATTTTCCACGACGCTCAATCGCGCTCAACCTCTCTCTCTCTTTCTCTCTCTCTCTCTTTCTCTCTCTCTCTCTCTCTCTCTCTCTCTCTCTCTCTCTCTCTCTCTTCGCTTTTCTTTCTTTTCTCTCGCAGCGAAGAAGCCGGGGAATTTGTTCGTTGAGCTTTCAGAAGAATCTTAGGGCAGAGCATAATCAAATTAATCGGTACGGTTTTAAGAAGGGGGGACATACGATGTACATCTCGCGACGCGAAAGGATGCTAAGGTCCGTTGGACATCTAGGATTAAGTCTAGAGTCCCTCTGTGTGTGGAGATTTAGGGTTAAGCTTATCGAGAACTTGAGAAATCGACGATAATGAACAAGGTAAATCTCACGGGAAGGAGCAAAATGCGGAGAAGAGGTGTCCCCACGTTCTATTCTCCGTCGGGTTCGCCTCAGTTTCCACCTTTCTCTCCCCCTGTCCATCTCTCTTTCTCTCTCTTACCCCTTCCGCAACTCGTTGAAGAAATCAAAGCGACGTGAATACCGCGTAAAATGAAAAGCCAAACTCTTCTCTACTACAACTACAACAACAACAACGTAACGACTACATTAACTACAACGTAAGATCCGTATAGGCCTTAACAAGATATTTGCCGCCGATGCATAATGTATTTGTAAATGTCCATTGTTTATAATGATTGTGAATATTGTAACAATGAGAGAGAGAGAGAAGCGTCGTCTCCGCTGTTACATTGTTGCGTATACGTACATGTATACATATACACGCATACATACATATATGTTAGAGATGTGCGAACTATTCGAATTCGAATCGAATCGAATCGAATCTAATGTAATTCGATTCGATTCGAATCCGAATCCGTATGATTCGAATACGAATCAAATATATTAGCGTTTGTGCGTATCAGTTATAAAACGGGCCATCTGGGCCTGTATATTTGAACTCTTAACTTATTTTTAATTAATTATTAATTAATAATGTTTAATTAACCTAACTTATAATTAACAACTTAATTATAAATTACTATAAATATTTAAATATTTTATTTCAAGATATTTTATTTTAAGATAATATTACAATATTAATATTCCTTTTCATATTAAAATCTTCCATAATTATTTGCACGTTTAATATTCATGTTAAATTTTTCAATGGTTCGATTCGATTCGATTCGATTCGACATAAAAATTCTTGATTCGCACATCTCTAATATATGTACGTATATATATATATGTATGTATGTATAGATACAAGTATAAATATAAATATAAATATATTGTACTCGAAGATGCTATATATAGAGTAATGCGGGGAATGCAAGAATTGAAAACGTCCTAATTGCCACACTGTGCTCTCGCTCGGTCGACGACGTAACGACGACGATAGTCATGACACTTTCTCGTGGTCGCTACATCGTTGACGAGATGAGCGCGCGCGCAAAATGCGATCTATGAGCAGCATTCAGGCTCCGGACTCGGGACTCCCCGGTTACTCCACGTGTATAATGGTTTCGTGTAACACACACACACACACACACACACACACACACACGTACACACACACACACACACACACACACACATACACAAGGTGTCAATGACAATGTTCGCTATGATTATTTTTCTGTATTATATATTATGTGTACTATGCTTATTATTAAAATTAAAAAGGCAGAGCAGCTCCTCCACGCTCACTCCTAGAATTATACGATCCGCGTTGTTCCGCGTCTCATACGTCCCGTCACGCGGCGAGAGTTCGATCGAGCCTTTGTTCTCGCGCAATTCTCGTGTTTAACTAGATTAACGTTCCCGACAACGGAGGCTGCGCTTCAATTCGCGAAGCAACGCGAGTGAATTGACTCGCATCGCGTATTCGTAGATTCGGCGAAATTCCATTGCGAGCTGAACGCTCGAAGAACGACGAGCGTGAGAGATTATGTAAGATAATGATTGGAAACACAGAGTATTAGTCGACGTAATATACGATTTATTGTTAGCGAATAAAAGTGCAAATCTCCACAATGGAATGGAATTAACACAGAAACACGTGCGTTGCTACATTAGCGTGACTGGACTTGCCCGGCTGGCCTTGCTGGAACGTGTGATCTTTGGAGAGCTGAAGGACGAGCTCTTGATGAATCCTTTCGTTTCTCGAAACACGCGGAAATTCGCGAAAATATCGCCGATATCAGTGCGGCGTTTACCATCGATTCACCCGTACGGCGACGCTCTGAAGAAATTCCGAGTCCTCCGCTATTTCGGCCGATAATACCTCGATCTGACCGTTTAACAGCGTCGAACAACGATGGCTCTTGGCCTTGATCTCGTGTCTTGGCGACGCATCTTCAAATTCACGCTCGTGTTGTCGCGTGTTCTCGGTAATGCCGGGGCAGGATCAGTCCCTTCGTACTTCAGCCGTAGCTTATACCAGACGTTCTCCAAAACGCAGATAAACGCGCTGACAATGATCATGGTGAAAAATCCGCAGAAGACCACATTGATGTGCTCGTATTCCACCGGTCGGAAGGTGCTCTGTCGAATATAAGTGGACTGGCTGTAGATGTCCGCTGACATCCATTTTTTCTCGAGATAATTCAGTATCCCGGCCGTGCGCATTCGTAGTATGCTGTCGACAAAAACGTGTCTCGCGAATACCTTCGGATGAGGAGGAGATCGCGCGAGCAGCTGACGACACAAAGCTGCCGCGCGTAACGCCAAAGTCGATTAGCAAACGACACTCACTACATGTTAATGAGGTGTCGGTATTGCGACGACCTGGCGTGCAGAAACGCCAGTCTGCGGCTCCAATAAGTCTCGGGTAGCTGTACGAAGCTACAGTTACGCAGAACCTCGTAGAACTTCGATCGGAATATGTTCGGCGCCTCCAGGTAAACGAAACTCGGGTCGCACAATTCCGCAGCGGGATTCGTGTTGCCGGTCAGGTCCGGACAGTCGTGGTTCACCAGCTCCTTCCAGTCGTCCTCAATTTCGCCCTCCAGCGATTCGTCCTGCAAGATGTTTTTTATGTCCTTAGCGGCCCTCACGCGAGATTAAGCGTAGACATTCGCAATAATTCTCCCTCGGAGCTTTAAATATAGCGCGCTCTCTTCCTGAGGAGGAGAAAACAAGAATAAAGAAAAACCGCGCAGCGCCGCGCGGAACTTCGAGTTGTATCAGTTCGCTCTGTTTTTTATTCTTATCGTTTCTTTGTTTCTATTTTTACCCGCTGCCGTGCCACTTTGCTCTTTTCCTTTTTTTCTTTCCATCGCCTCTTTGTTTCTCTATTTTTACGTACTACTGTAAAGTGGATGTAAGCGCTGCTGTCGTTCCTGACACAAAGCGTGTGAGTCCTCTTTATCGCGACGTCTTCGAGATTAGCGATGGGGACGGAGATTCGTCTGGTCGTCAGATCGGAAGTAAGAGTAGTGCTGAATCCGCAAGACAACAATAGTCCCAGTAATAAACAGGATAAAATGATCAATCGCAAGGACCAGCTTCTCGGAATTTTCTGAAAACCTGAATAACGAGCACGAGCTCGACCCATTTTCTCGTTCCTCTTTACAGCGCAAACTCCGCACATCCGATCTTTCAAATCTTTGCCATTTCTCTTCTATTGAGAATAGTTCAAGCGCAATGCGGAATGAACGCATGCCAACGCATGCGTGAGTGAGATAAAAGATAGAAGAATATATCGTGTAATCTGATTCTCAAGGAAAGAGCAAACGACAGATGTGTCCAAATTCAATGAAGTGTCACATTCGCAAAACAATTACGTTTCAGTTGCGTAACGTTCTATGAGATATGATAACGCGATATCTTGGGGAAGAGAAGTTCATTCGCGATGGCGGGGCCACATAACGAATCAATTAGATGTATACTTTTTCTCCGACTGTTATTGGTTTCAACGTAATCAATTAAAACTGTCATATCTTGGCCGAATTGCGACACTATTCCGTCCTCGTTCTTTCGTCCGTGCGGATTCGATAGCACACATACACACACACGCGCGCGCGCGCGCGCGTGTATGTGTGTGTGTGTGTGTGTGTGCAATGCGTGTTACCTTGGCCGCTAATACCACCCAAAACGTAGAGCAGACTGAAAAGCGGCCACGACAGCTCGTCGTGAAATTCCGTATAATTAACGCAGATTAGTTTCTTTACGTAGTACGTTCCCATGATGCTACACGCGATGCACAAGGTGAAGATGAAAGTCGTTAGCCACAAGTCCCCGCTGAAAGTGTCGAAGTACCACGTTCCCGAGGCTTTCTTATCCTCCGATTGAACGAACAAGGCGTATCTGAAAGCGGGCGCCGTTTCCAACGGAGACTTTAATTAATTAAACTTCTTTAATCTTTCTTTAATTAATTAAAGAATTAAAGATCTTTAATTAATTAAATATCGTCGCGATATCCGAAGCGAGGACCTCCCGGAAACGTTTCTCGAGTTCTCCGAGATAACCACGCTAGCAGGCACGAGCGTGTTTGCGCTCTCGGAACCAAACGAGAGAGAGAGAGAGAGAGAGAAGCCGCTGTCTTATCTATCTTATTCCACGATCATCCCCTATCGATCACGCGTGCCGTGTGCCTTTCACGTGCGCGACAAACAAAATTCCCGCGGCCGAAGATCGCCGATACGGGAATTCGTCTCTTTTTTCGCCCCTCCTATTACTTCTTCTTCTTCTCTTTCTTCTTCTTCTTCTTCTTCTTCTTCTTCTTCTTCTTCTTCTTCTGCAATTTCTTTTTTCCACCCGTGCAAACAAGCACGCACGAGGAGAAGTCGCGAAAGCGAAATCGGAGAGTCATTAGCCGAGATACGATCGCGGCGAGGTATATATGTCCCGGCTGGTGGTGGCTAACCGAAACGGGTTAACGACCGGTGTAAAAATTCCGCTGAAAAAGCTTACGTCGCACGGCCGACGGTGCGGCGCGGCGCGGGGCGTGCTCGCGCGCGAGGACGAGCTTGCGATAAGAGCGAGCGGGGTGGACGACGCGCTTTCTCGAGAAGAAGTTCGTTCGTTCGTTCGTTCGTTCGTTCGATCACAGGTAGGCGCAAGGTAGGAGATGATCGAATGGATAAGAGCGCGCTTGACTTACGAGCTGGTCGTGAACGGTATGCTGTAGTCGAAATGGCACGTGCTGTGCGCGTACATCGCCGAGGTGATGAGCAGTGCGTGAGCTCCTCCATTCACCAGCGTCTCCTCGTACTTCCGTCTCACTCTTCGGTAAATCGTCCTGCATTTTCGTCGAAAAGACGCCTTTATTACGGCTGCCGCGCACTCCTCCCGACTCTACCGCCCCCGCCCTTCCTACCCTCCAACCCTTCCTTTCCCTATCGTCTGCCGCGCACACCCGCGCTCACCTTCTCTCCGCTGCCTATCCTGATACTATATTTATACCTGTCTAGACGAATGAATCATGCGAGTATTTTGACCCACCGCCGGGGCGTGTGGGTGGTACGCGGAAAATTGGGCAGGTTCCACGTACGGCTTCGTCACACATACCCCTTTGATGCGTCGCCATGAAAATTGTCCGTGTAAATCGACGGCGTGAAGACGGTGTTACGGCCGCTGCTTCGGCTGCGCGCCGGGAAACGCGATTACCTTGCCGGTCTTTCGAGATAATTTCCCAGCAGGAAATGTAGCTATCGCTATGGCCGATCACCCCCTCTCTCCGCCCTATCGCCGATACTCGATCGAGAATCAAAGCACCCTGGCGGGTTTCCACGTTCGTGTGGGAATCGCGAATCCCGAGTAACCTCGCGCGACTTTGTTATCGAGATGGCTCGCGCGTCAGTCACCGGTCCGTGCCTCGCGTAGCGTATCGAAATTTTTGCCTCTGCTGACGACTCGAGTGCAATCATACAGGAAGATGCGGAAAAAGAAGCTAGAACTGAGATACTCGCGAACGACGCATCTCGCTCTGCGTATTCCTTCTTTCGTGCGAGAAGAAAGCGACTCGATGCAACATCACCTCTCTCTCTCTCTCTCTCTCTCTCGTAGCGGATGTACTAACTTAAATCCCAAAGCTTCTTCCAGGTTCGTCCACATGTCTCCTACAAAACCCGTGACTCCGGTCCTATCCTTATTTCGCATGATGAACGGAATTATCTGGAAGGATACATCAGATGACTTCGCCTTGTAACATTGCCGAAGCCGGCGCGGCGACTCGATGATCGCGATAGTTGGATCTGTCGAATCTTGCGTGAGAGAGGCCACGTCTTCGCGAGAATGCGAGATGCGGAGGGGAGGGGGGAAAGGGAAAGAAGAAAAATTTAGGGAGAAACCACACTTACGGGTTGTAGACCGACGCGTAGTGTCTTCCCGCGCAGATCGTTCACCGCGTCGACGCTACAGAAAGCCGTGTTGCCCAGCGTTAGTACTTCGAGCTTCTCGAAATCGTTCGTGTTCGCGTTCCAGTACCAAACGATTCCTGGTCTGAACACCACCGTCCTGGCCTCCCTTGAAGTTAAAAACCGAAAGCATATCGCCGTCGCGAAGCACGGAAGGACCAGCTGCAATGCAGTTGTTATGCGATCATTGCGACGGAAGCGAACACGCGACGAGCCTCGATCGCCAATGAAAACAACACGACGAACGCTGTTCGCCGAGGGCTTCAAAGACAAATTACTGAAATACGTTAGAGGGATTAACGAGGTGAAAGATTCCCCACCGGTGAGAGAAGATGCTTCATCGCGGCAAGTCCCGGTACGTTCCGACGGTCGTGCGTCCTCAGTCTCACTGCGCGAGCAAGGCGAAAATCGTTGGCTCGTGGATTCACGACTTTTGTCGTGTCAATGGAGTTAATTGACAGGTTTCGCCGCGGGAGCTGAAGAGCTGCCGCCTACCTTGCGGTGTCACGTCAATTTATTGTATACCGTATACGCACACTAACACGAGGAGTTGTACGATTTTAGGGTCGGTGTGAGTTGTGACATGTTCATCGCAATTCGTTGTTGTTGAATTACCTTCGAGACTTCAATCACCTTCGATTTTCGTCGCGCGAACGTGTGATTCAGGTCCGCGCGTGTCCGAATCGTGACAATGATTCAGGTGAGTCTAAATATATACATATCTTAGGAAATTGTGAGTAGAACGGTAGATCTTGTAGCTTTGTGTGCGAGAACTCTTTCGTCACGTTTGCGGTAATTTTCAATTGATTAACCGACGGCGAATCAACGCCGCGCGCTTGATGAAGACTTCAATGCTTGGCGAACGATGCAATCATAGACTAATCGTCATTGTCGTGTAGAATTCTCGTTAGAGAATATATCCCACCGATATATATCCACGCGTGTTCAAGTGATAATATTGTCAATGTATTGTTGACTCACTTTGCATATTCATGAGGCTCATGATTACTTTTGCTGATTATTTTTCTCCTAACGGTATATACATAACTCTAAATCCGTGACTGAAAGAAGCACGCCGTTTTCTTATTTCTTCCTTCGTTTATACTCCGTGCATGTTTATTTTCGGTAGAAAGGGAACGTTGATTCACTTTGCGCCCCGAAGAAGACGAATACGAAGACAAAGAAAAAGAAGAGGACGAAGAAGTGAGGGCCGAAAGAAAAAGTACAGGCGCATTGTACCGGTAACGGGGATCCGTCAGATGAAATCTCGCCAAAAAAGGAAGATCGCGCGCGAGCGCTAAGATCAAAGCGAGATATCTTCGGCGAAGCTATAAGCAATTCCGTTCCCGATGCCGCGAGGATGCAAATTATTATAATTGATTTCTGAAAAGGAAGTACCAGAAGAGAGAAGAAGGAATATGGAAATTGGTGTGATCAGACGACCATAAAATTTTATTGAACGACATAATGCACCCGAGTAGCGCAACTCACGATATGAGCGCGATCTGTCTCGTTGAGCCTAACTAGTCATGATGAAAGAGTCGGCCGCCGATCAGGGTGCTCATTATCTCACGATCGATCTGTTAACCGACAAGCAGATATTGTGGAGAGATTTCGAGGAGACTGCGCGCGGCCGGGCGTATTCACTTTTCACCTTCTGGTAATCGTGTACGTGCACGAAGGTACTCGCAGGATGTTGGTTTTGGCCGAGATTGCTTTACCGTTAGAGATGCACACGCTCTTTTTGCGCTGCTTCTCCGTGTCTCTCTCTCTCTCTCTCTCTCTCTCCCCCCCTCCCTCTCCCTTTGGACGAGCGACTCGCGGATCGCGGATAGAGCGTTTCGCCATATCGCCATGAGAGAGGCGGTGCCACGAAAAAATCCTCGGACGCGCGCGTTCTTATACGGAGTACTTTCATCTCCTTGCGCGAACATTGTTGCTTAAAGAAAAGGAAAGAAAAAAAGAAGGAGACACTCGAGTTCTCCTCCAGCCAGGAGGCGGCTGTTATTCATAGAACGCGCGAACGCACCTAAAGTATGTTACGCCCCGCTTTTGCAATTTAAACGTCCATCTGTCTCAGCGACGATGACATCCTGAACGGCGCCGCCACGAAGTCCGAGCACGAGCCTCGAGCACCGATGCAATCGCGGCCGCGGCTATCCGAAATCTTCGGTTTCGCTCGCAGGAAAGATGTATGCGGAATGCAAAAAATCTCGCTCGTTTAGAATACCGCGACCGGTGCATCTTCGATCGCGCGCAGCCCCGCCGCGCGCGAGATTTGAATCTTTTTGAGGTCCCATTTGGATTTCAAATGCCGCAGGCGGGCCCGCGCTCGCGTTGCTCTCCCCCCCCCTCCCCCTCTTTCTCTCTCACGTTCACCGGGCCCACACATCCTCTTCCTCTTCTAATCCTCCCCGTCCCGCCTCCCTCATATTTCGCTATCGTGCATCGGTGAAACGACGACAATAGTCGACATGGCGACGGTCGTTGCGCTCCGGCGTTCGGTGCCCTCGATTTCGGGCAGCATAAAAAATTCGTTGGGTCGATCGATCGACCGATCGATCGGCGGATCCACGCGTTAAGACCGTGCAGAAATTGCACGCACCAGCGCGGCGGGGCGCGTGTGCACAATCGACGAATTTGAAAGTTTTATGCGGTATGATAAGAGAGAAAGACAGAGAGAGAGAGAGAGAGAGAGAGAGAGAGAGAGAGAGAGAGAGAGAGAGAGAGAGAGAGAGAGAGAGAGAGAGAGAGAAAGAGAAAGGGAGACGCACATCGGCCGGTATCTCTCGTGTCGTTTGGTTGCCAGTGACTCTGAATATAAAATAAAAAAAGAAGAAAAGGAGAAACACGCACAGAGGGAACGCACATTTCACCATTGGATGAGTGACGATCGCTTCTTGTTTAACGGCACGGACAATGCATAAAACATCTTCGCGCGGTCAGTGGCCCGAAAAGAAACGCGGTGCAGCAACGCACTTTCGTGCTCCGGTTCAACGTTATTTCGGCACTTTGCGAGGAGGAATCGATGACGCAATAACGTTGCGATAATGACCATTGCCGTCGTTGTAATTGCAAATATACAATAATGACAAACAACCGCACGAATGCGGTAGAAATCCAATATCAAAAGTTAAGGAGGAAGCAGATGTGCGCGATGACCTCGATGCGCAGTTTTAAGGCCCACAGACTTATCATATCGGCTCCAACGGGCGAAAACGGTCATAGAAAAGACCCGGAGAAATTGCTGAGCACCCATAAATGTTAAACTTCAGGTCACATGATCGGTATTAGACCTCACCGTATTTCACTTACGAATCAAGCGGGCCCTATCTCGCGGATCGGAATCCCTAAAGGGGTAATTAGTATTTCAAAGGGGAATGCTGAGCGGAAAGAAGCGCCAATCGGGGTACTTCGAATCATTCTTTCCGTTTTTCCGAGGGATTCGATGTTTGGTGTTTGGTCTATCGAAAAACTGGATACACGATCGCATATGTCCTTGTACGTTCCTCCGCGAGCACTCCAGGGATCCATCGAGGTCGCTGCGACACGGGGGTGGCTGGCGGATGACCCGGTGGCCGAATCTTTTTGGCGTTCGCAAAGCCGCCGTGACGGGCTTTGACAGGCCGCCGGCGATTTGCGATCCGCGCGCAGAGAGGAACGGAGCTAAACGTCGTCTTTCCGTGAGGGAATCGCAAAGGCAAGTCGACGACGAGGAGGAGGAGGAAGAAAGAAAGAAAGAAAGAATGAAAGAGAGAGAGAGAGAGAGAGAGAGAGAGAGAGAGAGAGAGAGAGAGAGAGAGAGAGAGAGAGAGAGAGAGAGAGAGAGAGAGAGAGAGAGAGAGAGAGAGAGAGAGAGACAGAGAAAGAGAGAGAAAGAGAGAGGTTCGTACATGAGGAACGGTGGGGTATGGCAAGTCGCGCCGGGTGCGACGGTCGGGCGTGCGGGATTCGAGGGCGGCAGAGGGGGAGGGCGGCGGTATTCGCGGTGGCGGACGACACGGCGGCGGTGGCGGTGGCGGTGGCGGTGGCGGCGGTGGCGGCGGTGGCAGTGGCGGTGGCGGCGGCGAAAAGGGTTGGGGGGTAGGGGAGCGGTGAGGGAGTAGGAGAGCGGAGGGAGAGAGAGGGAGATTTGTTGGCGGCGGGTGTAGGTATACGTTCGGGGCCTCTACGACACGACGCGAGTGCGTAAGATACTACGGGACAGAGGAGACGGAGAAAGACGTCGCGAGACGTACGCGCGAAAGAGGGAGATGCCGCAGGATAGGAGAGGATAGAGGGAGACAGAGAGAAAGAGAAAGAGAGAGAGAGAGAGAGAGAGAGAGAGGGAGAGAGAAAAAGAGAGAAAGCGAGAGCGAGCGAGCGAGCAAGAGAAAGAGAGAGAGAGAGAGAGAGAGAGAGAGGGGGGAAGAGAGGGAAGAAGAAAGAAGAAGAAGAGAGGAGGAGGAGGTCTCCACCTCGACATATATGCGGTGAGAACGCGCGCCTCCTGTCTCAGTGCTTGACAGGCCGGCAAGCTCTTAGGATCCATCTGCAAGTCCGCCGACGGACCGTCGCTGCCCTCACCGTCACGCACGATCGTCCTCTTCGTCGTTTCCCTCGAGAGCCCACCTTGGGTTTCGGTGGCCTCCCTCAGGCGACGACGAAGTTGATCGGTGCGAAAGACTGGTCCCAGTAAGTAGTCACAGATAGTAGTCACCCGCTGGTGCCGGCCTGGTCAGAGCCCCGGAAGTGTGCGGAAAGCCACGAAGAGAGAGAGAGAGAGAGAGAGAGAGAGAGAGAGAGAGAGAGAGAGAGAGAGAGAGAGAGAGACAGAGAGAGAGAGAGAGAAGGAAAGAAAGAAAAAGAGAGAGAGAGAGAGAAAGAGAGAGGAAAAGAGAGAAAGAGAGAGGAGAGAAAGAGACAGGCAAATAAAATCGGTCGATCCTGTGGCTGCGAAAGCCGTACTCCGAGGGAACCAGCTCGGATTTGGCGCCATGACGCCTTGGACACGTCCGCTTGAGAATAGACTCTGTCACTGAAAGAGTGCGCGGCGACCGCGTGTGTCACAGAGTGACAGCAAGCTGGCGCCGGGACTGAAGGTCACGACGATGCAACGGACCGCATGACCCGGCAGGTTAATCGACAGAACCAACTCAGCACCAAGCCCCGATGCACCGAGACACCCAAGTGCCTTCTGTGATTCTCTTCTCTCGCGGTGATTGGTGTGCGTGAGAACGTTTCTGGTGAATCCGCAAGTGGAACGGATTGCTCCGGCGCTGCACTACTCTAGCAAATTCCCTCCCGATCCTGAAGAGCATCCTAGGCTCTGTTTAACCCGATAACAAGACGCTCGCTCTGCTGCCGAGAGAAATCGCGAGCTTTTCAAGTCACCACGTCACAGTTGGATAGCTTCGTGACGGAGGGTCGAAGAAAGCGAAACTGGATCGCGTGGATCGCGACTGTGATCGAGGCCGGTCGTCCAGTTCCGGCGGAGCAGCGACCTTAGGGCAGCGCGATAAGCCAGGGACCAGGAAGCTTCTGGTAGTGGAGAACGTATGGTTGCGTAAGTTCAGGAAGAAGCTGGCGGTGAGAGATAAGCGACGAAGAAAGAGACTTCCCTCGCGGAAGAAGCCGGAGCTGCGTGGAGACAAATAGAGGTGGAGGACGAGAAACAACGGCGAAACCGTAAACATTCTTCAAGAGGAATGAGCCAAAGAAGGAGGTAAATTCGCGAGAGAACGGCAAGTTGCCCACGCTGAGAGACCAAGTGACAAAAGAAGAGGCACGAAAACTTCGAAGACGAAGAGAGAGAGAGAGAGAGAGAGAGAGGAGGAACGAAGAAAGCCTAACAGAAGCTCCGAGTTTCATCCCGAGAGAAAACAAGGACTCAGCGAGGAGAAGCGACGATGCTATCGACGATCTGATCGTTCTTCTCGCGACGAAGGCCGATCGTAGTTAATCCGATCAAGGGCGACCTTGAAGAAGATGGTCACGAGGGCGCTGCTGCTACTCTCGCTGGTCCTCCTCGGTGCCTTTGACGCCCCCGGCATCGAGAGACCTCACGTCCGACACCTGGCGATGGCCGGTAATGCCTGTAGCGCATGCAGGATGCACGAGGAGATCCGCGCGTTGAGTCTGGAGGTCATCAAGGAGCAGATCCTGAACAAACTCGGCCTGAAGCAGGCGCCCAACATAACGGGCCGGGCCCTGCCGAGGATCCCGCCGATCTCGAAGCTGATGGACATGTACGGGATGCAGGCCGATCAGCCGCCCGAGCCTGGTATCGCACACCACGAGGAGTTCGACGAGTACGCCGCGAAGACGGAAAGCGTCTTTGCCTTGGCGCAACCTCGTAAGTAGTTCCTTCCACTTCCTCCCTTTCGCTATACACATATTATCGTTGAGCGATGCAGTTAAACCTTAACGAGCAGTTAACCTTACGAGATGACTCTGAGCTTACTCGCGCACACTCGAGCTGTTTCACGCGCTCGCCTCTGTCAGAAATTGGGTTTTACTTCAAACAATTAAAATAGCAAGTTCGAGCCTACACACGATATGAATGTGAAATAATAAAAGTATAAAAATTTATTTCGATAAAAAAACCTGTCCGGTACGTAAAATATGTATAAAACGTTTCGGCCTTGTATTTGGCCCTCATCAGTGGTTAAAAACATGCTGTTAAAAACATGCTGTTATGCGGAGCAACATATCGACATCTCTGTTATCTTCTGAGCTCCTTGAAAATATATCAATTCGCGGCTTCGATAACGCACTGCTCCTTCTCAAGTCATGAAGTCTATATGTATCAATCAACGGGGAGTAAATTCCATGAAATTTCTCCTTCGGATTTATGTATCACCTAACTCTCCTGATGGGGGGCGGGAGGCGGGAGGGTATCAGAAAATGCCGTTGAAATATCCGTTGTAGTGTCTTCATGTGACAATTTTTGGCCAATGCTTTGATTAATGCGGCATATTTATGCGTCATAACAATCGAACAAAAAGAGGTTAAGCCGAAACACTTCAAATTGAACGCGACGCGCATGAGGCATAATTTTTATATTTGGCGTATAGCTTGGTAAATGGGAACAGGAATTATACATGCTTATAAATATTACATGTAGGAAATGTAAACATTTTCGATGTACGAAATATTCGCATGTTCACATTTGAAAGAGAGAACGTTGAGAACGGAACCATAAGACTCACGTTTAACAACAAAATGTCCGTCTGCAAATTAATGTCTATTGGCTGTTTTATATGTAACATCTCTATCGTCTTTCGACTATCGTCTTTTATAATAGAGCTTATAATCTAAAATTTCGGGATCGCCGAAATAAAATGGAATAATCCGTTTCTGATTGAAGCCTATCAATCTGTTTCTGATTTAGCCTGTCGATCTCAGAAGAACTACTAGTTAGTTATCAGTAGCACTGCATACACTTACAAAGTGCAATTGCCAAAATCATTGTCGGGAAGCTAACGGTATTTAAATGCAGGGCACGTATGCGGTCAGGCCTGATGACGAGCAGAAAAGCCTATCGAGAGGATGATAATGTTCGGCAAGAAGCACGAGTCGACAGTTTTTTGCGAAATCGCCATTCTGATTCGTAATCCTCGTTCGTTAGACCCCGAAGCCCTTCCTCGAGATCCTTTAATCTAAATTAATTAAATCAACTATTTAGCCATACTGAGTGATCGCATCGAGTGTTCCCCTCCGTTTTTATCCGCAAAGAAAATAATACCGGGGTAAATGTTAGAGTTTCTCAATCAGGATCTCCTCGCATTTTTCGCAGCAACATTGTTGTCCTCCTGAAGGATCTTTCGTCCGTCAGCGGGAGAACGACTGGGTACTTGGATATTTGCTTCGATTGCAACGAATGGTCGCTGTTTTATTCGCATTCCGCATTGGGAGTTTCTCTTTTGTCTCATGTCGTATTAAGTAGAAAGTATCGCGCTCTGCGCGGTGTCTAGTAACGAGCCAGCATATGGAACGTAACGTGCAGCATGTTATATATATATATATATATATATAAACTTCGCGACGAAATATCAAGTACATGATGACTTATGATCGTCCTTCTACTTTGCGCCGCGTTCATGCCGCCGCAAAAACTCGCCGCATATCTCGGCGGGTAGCGTTATCCCAAAGATCATGCCAGCGCCACGGTTTGCTCAGAATTAATTATCGCGAGTGGTAATATTTCATGCACGACACCGATCATGTTTTCCTTGGCAACGTCAAGTAAATTAACCTCAGCGGCACGGCGATCCGCCCGACGTGACTCGCGTTATACACGCGCGCTCTCGCATGCAACTCGCCGTACGCACGCTGAATTGCATCGTATCATCGCCGCTGATGAGCGCCTTGTAACTTAATAGTGCCGAAGTAACAATTATATAACTTGCTCTTATACCCGACATCCGTTGCCGTTAACTTCACGATTTACTCGACGCGAGCGCCACGACTCGATCCCCTTCACCGGCCTTATGCGCGCACTAAAGTATGTAAATGATACGGATCTCTCTGAGCGCGGATCTCTCGGCGAAACGGAGCGGAAGCTCGGGGAAAGGGTGAAGAGGAGAAAATTCGGAAGATCTCCGGTAAAATATACAAACGGCTTTTCTCCCCACTCCCCCTCCCGCTCGCTCGTTACACACCGAGGCAGCGTCGCTCGGCAGGGCAGCCTCGCGGATAAACGTCGTGCGTGTGACAATCCGCTTTTGCTCGGCTTGTATTTTCATCACACGCGTGACAGTCCTCCTTGTTTGCGAGATTGTTTCCGACTTGAAATACGCCTCGTGAACACACGTGTGTACGAATGACGCTCGCGAAATTTCGCGGACACCGTCGCGTTCCATCCTCCCCGACCCGAGCGAACAAAATCTCCCCGTGAATCTTTCACTCACTTCAGTCACTCCTCTCCCCGCTCCCTCCCCGTTCTCCTTACTCGCGGGAATTGAGGTAAATTAATATGCGACTTGCCGTGTTCGTGTCGTGCCCGCAACCTCGGTACGCGCCGACATGTATCGTTGGCTAAAGTCGAACTCTCTCTAGTCGCACGTCGGGCACGGAGTGCGTTCTGGGCTTCCTTCGATCCTTCGTGCGCCTTCTAACAGTTTCGATTTGAAATTCGATCCCACCCTGTGGCTTCAAGAGCATTCTCGCAAGGCGATAATGGACCTTATCGACGCTGCCGGGCGCAGGCCCCCTATGTAACACCTTATACTGGGTGTCTTGGCGCTTCGTATCTCGGAAATTGTCCGAAGGGGAACGTCGCGGCGATCGTTCGCCTCCTCTCGAGCCACGCAGACGAGTCAGTCGCAATAATCAATCAATTTCGAGTCGAGTCGAGTGTGTCGAGTCTCTCCGTCAAGATCGCGAAAGCCTGCGGTCACCTGTGCCGTCGCTGACCGTCGCGGACCGAAGAATAAATTACGAGCGCGCGCGCGCGCGTGGCGATGCAAGCACGCAATTTCCATCGTGGCCGTCGTGCGTTTGCACGCGGTTTGCAGATTCCCGATGATCGCGCGATTATCGCGATCGCATGATTTCTCCTCGGCAGCGCGCGAGCGGGCGCGGTTCGTCGAAAATTGCCGGCGCCGTCTGAGACATCGGAAAGCTGCCGAGAGAGCTGCACGACAGCCGACGGCCGTCAGCCGAAGACGAGCACGCGTGTCACTCCGTGGACACCCTGTATACACGCTGTGTATAATATACACTTGTTAAGCACAGCAGAAGAGAGAAGAAGATCCAAACGATCCGCCGCCGCACGAGTCCCTCGGGCGAAACTGTCTTCGAGCCACTTACCGCTAAGCACGTAATAGTGGCGGTAGGACCGCAACCTGTTATTAAGGCCCCCGTGTTCGCGAAAAAAAAGGGAGGAAAAAAAAAGAGAAAAACGAGATCAACGACCTGCTTAGGTGGGAGCTCGGGCGGGAGAGACCGATCGGTGCGCTACGGCGCTACGGTGCCGAGCCGCGGCGCTTTTTTTCGACGAATTTGAATTTTATAGGCGTAATTTAACCTCCCCCGCGCGTCTCGCGTCGCCGAGAGGCGATCGGCGTTTGACAGAGTCTCCAGTCTCGGAGAGACCGCGTACCGACCATATTGTCGAAAGATTATCGTGGCTCGCGTGATTACGGACACTTTGGCCATTCCCCATAAGCAAGTCGACTTATTATTATCTGTATCACGCCAATTATATGCCTCTATTCTCCGCTAGTCCGCGATCGAAGGGGAGAGAGAAGGAGAGACAGAGTTTCCGCGGCGAGAACTCTCGCATTATGCCTCATCGTTGCGTCGGGTGGCTCGCTAATTACGGATGTAACCGCTTGTAACCGTGATGGGAGTTCGCGTTAAGGATGAAGCACGGAGCGGAGAATAGGCTCGATTCGATCAATTACGCGCGAATGCTCACATTGTCGAAGATTAAAATGTACGCCTCCGCGACGCGACGAGGCGATTTTCTCCCTCGTCGCCGCGTACTTCAGATCGATCAAACGCGCCGCCGCCGCGCCGCCGGGGAGAATAGCAAAGGTGAAGAGAGTCATTCGAAGGTATTTAAAAAATGACGGTCGAGTTGCTTGACGTTGCTGTGCCTGCAGGTTAAAACGCGCGCGTCTGGCGTAAGTCGAAACACATGTTAGTCGCAAGTGGCTTCGCACGTCACTCTAGACTGCGGATTCACTCGCGCCGCTCGTGCATCGCGAAAGGCCTTGCGCGCTCCGCGCACTCACAGTGTAGTGAACAAACCCAGCTGGTGTGCTTCCTAAATTGATCTCTCTCGCTGTTGCAGCACAGTCGAAAATAAGTCTGCATATATTTAGCATCGCGTAGATAACGAGAGAGAGAGAGAGAGAGAGAGAGAGAGAGAGAGAGAGAGAGAGAGAGAGAGAGCGGCGAGATGAGCGAACGAAAGTTCGAACACGATACACCAGTGTTGGGAAAGTTATCGGTGAGATTAATAGCCGGAACGACTTATTGAAAATACATATGGCTGATATATGGCTGATATGGCTCGCTGCTCGTGACGTGTTCTCGACTCATGGCGTAGTGCGTGTGTACTATGCGTAAACGTCGGCGAATCGTAACGGTAATGCGCCGGGTATCCGCGATATCAGCTCCGACCGCGGCCGCAACGCCGAGTCCCACCAGTAGAGAATAGCACCGAAATTGCTGAAAAAAGAATGAGCAACCGGTATCGTGGCCGGGTTATCACGGCCGACCTCTTGTCTGTCTCGTCCAACGTCTCGTCCTCGCGCGCGGGGCGATCTTTGGAAATCCGTCAACGCGAATTTTCTCTTCTCGCTGTCTGCTCTCTCGCCCGTAGGAGGTTTGCGTAGGGCGAAG